TGAGGATGATGGCGATTCAGCGTTCTCTGAGCTTTGATATTTTGTCTTGAGTGCTTAATCACTAGGCTTAGTGACGTCTTCAGCACTGACTTCATAAGGAAGTGAAGCATATTTGAATATTACACTAACGTTTAGAAAGTGTTTTTATTGGTCTTGGATATTGTCTAATCGTAAGTTGTGGAAGAAAATTTTAACTGGACCCTGGTATCTTTGACCTTAAGCATCCCTCAGCCACGTCTTGTGATATTCTTCGTCGAGGTAAAACTGTGCTGCTTTTTGCTGTCACACTGCATGATAGCTGCTTTGTCCGGCCAAGTTGCTTCCGGTTGATAGATGACTGTTTTCTTCCTAAGTAGACTGTAGGTTTGGTTCATATCCACATGTCTCTTGATTTGCATTTCGTTTGAACGTCATGCTGCAGGAAATCCACTTGGAGCTCTCACATCTGCTCACTGTAAAATTTCCACATTGAAACCAAGGAGGCCGCGTCCTGTCGGCTTACTGTTAGCTGATGTTCATGAATTCTCTAGGCAATCTGATAGGAAGGCTGGACAACATAATGCTGTGAAAAGTCATTCCAAGCGATTTTGCAAAATTTATTTGTCTCGTCTCCTTTCGGTAATAGTTCCTTTGGTATGATGATTTCGTTGGTTTGTGTTGCTCTGATTTCAGGGAAACGAAGCGAACAGTTGTCCGCAGGGGTCGACGCGCTCATTTATTCAGGACTGTTGCTCTCTTTAATTTCTTAATGATGAGGGCTGATTGTAAGGATGCACTCAGTCAGCTCAGCAGCCGAATCTTGGGACAAAGTAAAGGACTGAAGGATAAGCAATGATGAACGATAATACACTTTGATAGGACTTTCGCAGTCAATTACAGCACGCCGATTTCTCGAATAAAGCTACCTGACCATCCAGACGTCTTTCAGTTTGGCGGAAATCCCCTAAGGGGTGGTATGGAATATGCGAAGACCACTGGAAACACTCTTGAACTGCAACATTTTGTAGATATTTGACTTCAAGGTAAACAAACCTTCAATCATTTTAGCTGAAGTAGCGAGTGACCGTCACGGCTGACGCCTGATTTTTTAAGTCCCAGATGTAACGACCAAAACCCAGTTATTTTGGCCTGAACGCGGAAACCGACCCAGCAGTATCAAACTGACAAGACCCAGGCAAGCTCCTGCGCTCCACTGTATGGTTCCCGAACTTTCGTGGGTGACGCACAGTTAAAGATTGGATCTATATTGTCCAAAACATGATTGGTAGTAAATCAGTGATAGATTCGTAATAAATCTGTCGTACTATCAAAACAACAATAATTTGTATGAAAATTACAAAAATACCTCAGGAGTGCTGCTGGGTAACCATACAGTCCAAACGTTCCCGGGCAATAGTACTTACTGAGAATTAGTAAAAGTATTCCCCACAAAAGGGATCAAAAACTCTGTCTACCAGAATTAGACCAATAAATAAACGTTTCCGGTGGCCAGTTAGAAGACAAGCATTCTAGTCACAGCATAACTTTAAATTGAGTCGAAACAAAGGGTCAGGCGCAGTAAAACGACGTCACATCGGCAGTCCGGCATCACATGAGATATTTATGATAAGTCTCAATCAAAAAAGGATAAACAGTGAGTATTGTGTCAAAGAAGATGGTCAGGTGACAAAATAACACCAAATCGGTTAGGGTCAAAGGCACAGCATCCATAATGAGGGTTAAAATATCCAAATAACTGTCAACACCGTCAAATAGAGTGATCCGGGGGTATTTTCCAGTCATTTTTCTGGTACACTGAAGTTGATCCCAATACATATTTAGCTGCGAAAGGTTTCTCAAGATCTTTAGCCTAGGTTTCGAAGAGTTTCAACATCGATGCCAACCTTAATCCTTGTAAAGGACCCCATGAACTGAAGGCATATGGTCAAGCATTCACTTCATTTAGCACGTTGTGGCTCCACGTTGTGTTGCTCGTACTCGATCCTGTAGCCAGTTGGTTAAAACAAATCGTATCTTGTTTCCGTCAATGAAATGCACTATTTCACCCGACTACTCTCTGGTGTTCTTCCTTGGTCTCGCACCCGTCGGCATTCAACAATTACGAAAGTAGTTGGTGATTGGCCTCTTTTTCATGTTTATTTTAGATGTAGGCGGTTTTTTCATGAAACTAGGCTTGCGAACGGTAAACTTGAATTGGTCAGGCTTTTGAATGGCATTTTTTAAAGTCATTTCACTAGTCGTGAAGCTTCCATTGTTTTGCTAAACGACATCAGCACTAACATTCACCTGGGCTACAACTATTCGCCACCATTTCGAAATATGTGCTATTTTTATCCACACATGCAGGCCCTTCGAGTCCATGCAACCACTCACTTAGTGGCGAAGTAACCGAAATTGACCTCATATGAAGTATCGACCTTGATGGCACATTGAATGGTTTGATGACGAAGCCTTATGTATCATCCGCCGTCACATGATATTGGTTTCTGTGTTGAATTGCATCTGTGGCATAACCTGTCCAAATGACCCTGCTTACAACATCACAGACCTCAGCAATCTCTATACACTGCATGAAATATATTATTATCATTATTATGACACCATAGAACATTCGTACCGAATTTCACCTCCGTCCATCTAAGAATTTAACTGTAGTCTCCCATGCTGTCTGTAGACGGCACAAATTAATTGAATAATCACCTACTTCCGGCTTCAGTTATACCCAAATTTGAAGTACATTTTGCTCTTACCGACTGTGCCACTCATTGTTTTGGGATACTTCCCATACCAAGTGATCACCGCTGTTGTATAACGAAGTGACCAGTAATATTCAAACACTTTCATACTCTCGGGAAATATATATGGCGTGATAATCGGTTCTTTTCGAACGTTCTCAGCTACACTGAGCAGAATAACACTCGGATACTGCCTGCAAAAATGGTATATCTCCGCAAAATTCATCAATCGAGATACGTTGCTTTTATTGTTGCCACACACGGAGAGGGCTTTAACTAATCGTTCTATCTTTGTAGAACTTACTTGTATCTTCAGTGTGCGGGAAACGTGAAAACCCAACAGCCTAAGATAGACGACGGAGAAAACCACAGAGGCTTTGGTAAGCATGAAGGAATTCGTCCCAAAACAAGTGTTTTCTCGTGTCCTGGGAAAACTCGCTTGCAGAGAATATGCCCTCTATTGATAGAGAAAATGAGACTGGCTGACGGGGTTTCGGCAGCGGTACGGTTGTTGAAGAGTTTCACTGCGCTGCAAAAATTTGTAAAATTTAGGGAAGACGATCCGGGCATAATGACTTAGCTCGTGGAGAACTGAGAATTGTCGAAGAGTATGCATAGTTTTTCTTCGCAGCAGGAAGAGAAAAGTTTCGTGAACGAGAAATACACTGGTGAAAGCGACTGGCGATCGCGAGGAAGACAGACTTCACTGACAGCCTCAAGTCAGCCGGCGTCAGGAATAAAGGACTCAAAATGCAGCTAGTGTTTGTTAATGATATTCTGTGTGCTGCTTCCAGTAGCTGGTTTCTGCCATAATTCATCGGATTCGTTCACTGTTACTACCAGTCCACCTTCACTTTCAGACTGAATGACAAAAGCAAAGCAGTCGCCGTTATGCAGCTGCCAGATATTATCCCAAAATATTCAACAACCAAAGCTTCTCTAAGCGTTTAACTGCATGGGTCAGCGTCACAAGTAGAATGACTAGAATTTTACTGGAAACCCGAAAAATATAGTCAAATCAAACATAAAATGGTTCAGTATGTCCATCGTCTCCTGGCCGATTTATTGTTAATAACGACAGGATGGATCATAGCCTAAGGCAAAATGCGCGAGATGTTGGGCGGTTCATTTCAGAGGAATGTGCCTAAAGTTCTACGGAGTGAAGATAAGTTATTTGCTAAACGTTCGCCTATAAATGAAACAGAAATTGGGATTTGTGTACGCATCACCCAATACCGATGGATATAGCCGCATTCGGACATATGGTTGACTTCAGCAAAGCCGACCTACCAGGAAAAGTGTTTGACAAAACTACTAGAGACAACTGGGTAAAATTCCAATTTTTTAGCAGAACCGATTTATTGTTGTTCCTGAATCAGCTGAAATAGCCAACTTCAGTAAAACTCTCACCGTTCGACCGACGTAGCTGGGGCTAAAAGGCCAGAGTTTCCTTGAAAAACTAACTTTAACTTTTCGAGCACACTGCAGCTTCACCCACCTGTCTTATAATTGTTTCATCAGACTAGACTCTCGAACACTTCTAAAACATTCGTAACACATAGAGTTTGTAGATTTTCGAGCTTGCAAAACATTGCGAAAAGGATACACCAGTATTTCGTTTTATCCTGCGTTTCTTCTTTACGAGTAATGTTTCCCATGTTTATGTTCATTTATCAACACAAACAAGTAGATTAAAAAGAAAACAACACGGAACCCCTACAAAATGCTGTTCAACACACTTCAGAAACATCGGGAATGTGATAAGCATCCAGAGTATCTAGGATAAATAATGGAAGCTGTTTTGGGACTAGGAATGGTACGTGAAGTATCAGCTTTCAGTTGAAGGAAGTTCATTCCGGATCAGTACAAGCTATGCATTTTTGTTGTTGTCTGTTGAAACTGTGGTTAAATTACTCCTAAATATTTTAGCGTTGTAAGTGCGAGTTACAGATATTCCACCTATTAACAAGTTTGGCTGCTAGATAGCTATGAGCGGATATAATTTTGCTTCATTTTGTCATGGTATTCGCGATGCCCTTTGTCTTAAATTATCCTACAACGAGTCAACCAGATTTTATCTGATTAATTGTCCTCCTTTCATAACAATCGGTGATTATGAGTGCAGTTAGATATTTAGATATTATCACATGCTAAGTAATTTCTGTACCTAGGCATTGAAAACCAAAAGCTATCTAAACTCGTCATATATTCATTAGTAGCGGTGTTATAATGTCAAACTGTTGAAATCTGAATGCGTACGTCACCAGCGGACATTTCAACAATACTGGCCACTCTTGTGTGGGACGGTCTGTTTATTGTCGTCATCGTTGGTCTACTGTAAGTTAAGTAAAAAGTTTCGGCTTTCTTATTCTTCATATTTTGACAAAATTAACATACTGCTTACTTCATAGTTGTACGTTGCCCTCATGAATCATGATAGGTATCAGAATTCAAATACTTTCAGTTTGCTATCCTCATGTAAAATCTGTTGTATGAATCCTCCATTCTCAGGATCACCAGTGTAATGTGTATCTCACATCTTATCAGGTGTGTCATGTGTTGTGACTTGAGTTTTTGTGTTCCCTAATATTGTTTTGCTGGGGCTGAATCCCCTTAGCTGCCTGCCTTTGATAATCTGCACAGTGTTATGTTTTAGCATCCCAAAACGTGGTTTAGGAATTTCTCGTATACTAAGCCACCCAGTTGTGTTCTGTGATATGATGATCCTTCATTATGGAGCTCTATTCACAAGCCTTCTGCATGCGTGGAATTAAGTCTCACTTACGGTTTGACTTCGAATATTTGCACGTTATAGTCATGCAAATAATATACTTCAAGTAATTCCACTTTAAGTCTGTCGTGTTATAGTAAGTAAATGCAACACAATTCATACTTGAAGTGGAATACTGTTCACACTTAGAAGCGGCTTTGGCTATTTACGGTACTAACTTCCATCCGTTGATATTAAGTTTTGCATGATGTGATCCCCTTCTGTGTATTTGTCAGCTTTCGGACAACATGGTTTGTGAGTCTATATGATATATGACTATTTGCATCGCTTTACTTCGTGGTTTCATAGCGAAAGCACTAATATTGGTTAATTTCTTTTTGAGAAATTAATCATAAATCGAACAGCTTCCAACAGAAAGACAGAAAGTACATATTCTTATTGCCTTACTGCATGTGATGCTGCCACAGTCTGTCTTAATTAACATACTCATTTTTGATTTTCAGTAAAAGAAGCATGACTAGCGTGTGACCTTTCGTGTGTGTTCTATGACCTGAGGTAGATATTCAGTCGACACAATCCTAAAAACACCTGTTACTTCTGGTTACTTAAGTTTTATGTATCTGATATACCGTCATGTTTTAAAAGACTGGTATTTGCATTTCTACTTCAGCTAAGATATTGTTGGCTTTAATGCACTTTCATGTTTCCCTACTGAACAGAAAGATTATCGGTTCTACTCTTAGCAGCAACCAAAAACAAGCATTTTGAGTCAGCAGATGGAGTTATTACAGATGTATAAATTCACCATGCTTCATATTTGTGGCAGTATTGCGAAACTCAGCAAGTGGAGTAGATAAATCTTTATCAGCAACTGTAGTACTATTGGGTGTCAAATCGCTGGTACTTAAACAGTAACTTCATGATCCTGCCAATATCTGTAGACTTCTGTGTATCTACGATATTGAAGCGTAAGAACAATTTTTTATAGGGTTTGTTATTCATAATTATTGGAAGCCATTTTCATGGGAAAGCACCCACACAGTTTAAACTGCTCTACATTAATTTGACTGTTGACATACTTTATAGTAATCTCTGTTCAACATGATTGCTTCCTCTTTTGACTTAGTTCTTCAGGGGATGGGGTTATCAACATAAGTAGTACGCCCAAATCCAACAAATATCAATGCTCATCATGCTATTTTTGTTTGGATGTATCTTTTTCGACCCATGATTAGTGTTTGTCAGTCGACTTGCGTGTCTGTCTATCTGTCTCCCTTGTGGTCATACTCAGTTTACAAATGCTTTTCTTTTTGATTTAGGTAGTTACAAATGAACTTTCTGAAGTGGCTTACTGGTTTAAATGGGGATTCTACCAATGATAACCAACTAGATTACTCATTCTTGTTTCCCGTAACCATTGGTGTGGGATCAATCCTTATTTGTCTTGCTGCGCGCTATCGAAACGAATTAGTCAGCTTTAAATCAAGTATGTCCCGAAATCCAAAAGATGAGAGTAACATATCTGCACGTCGTGGCAATGCCTATGCAAATTCAAAGAAAAAGGCCAAACATTCCAGTAAATTTGAATCACGCACTCCTCAAGTTCAGGTCCAGAAGCAAACAGAAGTTAAGACTTCACCACCACCTGTTGCAATCGAAAGAGAGATTTTGGTCGTGCCTGTTCCACAAACTCAATACACAGCTGTTCCACCTCCCCAAACTAAGCAAGAAGTGGTAACCAGTACCACCGATGGAATTGAAGCTGAGTTCTTTAACCCCACACCGAAAAAACCGAAGAAATCGAAGCGTTCATCTAAAACTAAAGACCCTCAAAGTCATGATACAAATGAACAAGCCGAAATCGACCCAGCATGGGTTACGGTCACGTCAAAAAAGGTGAAACTATCTAGCCGAAGTACTCAGAAAAAGAAGAACAGCGAAACAGAAGGTACGATTTTTCATACATGGATTTATGTGAAGCTTAAAAATACTTTTTTAAACGTCTGAATCCTCAGTATTTAAAGTTATCCTCACAAACTTGAATCATTTAGACAATCGGAAATTTATAAGTAATAAATGTCTTCACAATGATGCTCATTTGTCGAATAACACTAAATATGTATCTTCTTTTAGAGTACTCAATGATATATTTTTGCTGGGTACTTCTTTCATTCAAAGGCAAGACTTCTGGATTTACGCAGTTAAATATCGTTTTCGGATAGAGAAATATCACTAGAGTTGTTTACCAATACACATACACATACGGCGAAATTGTGTGCTTATGGAGAACATATGGTTGTCAAAAAATAGTTGCGACAAGCAGTCATCACTGCACGCCCACTTATCCGCCATTTTGGAATGACTACATAGCTGTCTTTCTACTTGACTTAGCCTCTCTAGTTAAGCACTAAACTTACACGCTACTTGTAAAATCGCTCAATTCTCAATGAAATTTGTCTACTTTGTGAATGTCGCCAGTAGATGCATCGATTTTTGTCAACAGCACACCACAATATTACTGAAATCTAGCATCCTAACATCATGACATCGCCGAAAAAGCGTCCTAACTTTGCGTTTAAAAACAATGATTTTGTAATTTTTGAGAGGATCACCTACTTCAAATGAAAGTGGACTTCTAGCTTGCTTCGTTTTATTTTTTGGCAGAGTTAAGTATTTTTGTGCAGTTTTTTTTCTTGGCAATATTATAGGGACCATTCGAAAACTATTCTCTTGTTTTAAATCTGTTATTTTCTCCACTTAGGGGATCAGTTTGTTGCAGAAAGCCTCTCACCGTCTGAATCTTTAAACGAATCACCAATCCAGCACAAACAGCAAAATAATAAGCAACAAGAATTGGCCTTCAGCAATAAATCTCAACTATCTCTGTCAGAGGATAAGGTTAGTTTTGGTACCATCATAGTCAGTTTTTGTATATATACCTTAGTTTTAAAAAGCTATTCAACTTTGTGAATATTATTTTATCAGAACAATTGCGAAGTGGGCTGTACATAAGTTGAACCGTTTTGAGTAACTCCTCAGTTGTTACTTATTAATGTAGGTATATAGAACCTGTGGTTTGTATGTGTAAACCAGTTCAACTTTCAGTCTAGGAATTGAAATAGGGCCATTAAAGTTCACATTATGAAGGTATGGCAAGTGAGTTGCTAGATAACTTCCTCATACTTATACTCTCCAATACTATATACACTATGTGTCAAAAAGTTCCTCCTGAACTGTTGTCTTTAGTAAAAGTGTATGACGGACTATCAAACCTTTCTCCCTATATATTCCACTTTTTGATTGGGGTTTTTTGTATGCTGTGAAAGTAAGGTTTGCTTAGTGTCTATATGATATCCATATAAGCTCACATTTTTATTCATTTCAGTGGATAACAACACGTGCATATTTTCGAAGCACTGATACCTATCATCCTTTTATGTCCTAATACGATCTTGAATTTAAGTTGTAAATTTTGTTAGCATACTCCTTTCTGCAATATATTCGACGTTTACTCTTTAATGAACTCGGAAGTGGGCACCCGTATTGTTCTGCGTATGTGTATTTTCATAATAGTTCGGATGTCCTTTTTTTGCTGTTTTACTGTTATTTGCATAGAAGTACAACCCGCATTCTTAGTTGCAATATGTATTTGACCAGTTTTACTGTTCAGTATGAAAATTCCATGTTTTGTTAGTTGACCAAACATTATTAGTTGTATTTAATGCAAATGAAATAAAAATGTACGAGTTATTTTTACATGACAGTGACTTTCCCTATAAATCGATTCCCTTGCATATGTATATGCAAGCGTTCTGTTTTCACTCAGCGTAGGAATCAGTTAAGAGTTTATAAGGAGGCTTTATAACTGTGATATATTTCATAACGACTGCAAATTTGACAGTGACATTTTGCAGTAATTGATACTGATCACTCATGAACTGTTTTTCTATCGTGACCACTCAGTGTTTATTTTCCGAGCTTACCTATGGACACATAAACAAAGTAGTATCTGGCATAAGTGCATATATGCCATTTTGTTACATTTCTCATAAGTCAGCACAGCGAAGATATGTTGACATGCAGACAGACAGGCAGGCAAAATCAACGTCGAACTTCTCACAGATGTGCATCATTTCGAGCAGCCACACTCCATAGTAGTGTGCAAAAAACAAATGGGTACAACAAGAGTAATGAAGTAGAGTTAAGACGATGAAGGTTAGTGAAAACACTTTAGCTTTCAAAGATGCCAGAGTGAATACACATGTGCCATTGTAGCCAATTATTAATCATGTTGACGAAGTTCTTTAACCACTGATACCTGTTATCATGAGGATCCAAACCAGGTAGTCTACATCTTCCTGCAAGACCCAGACCAGTAGTCTTTTGTAAAATATATGGCTCAAGGCACTGTTGTATGGCAGTCAGAGAGGAATGTAAGACAACATGACAAAAGTGCATAGGTTACCACACTTCATAGCAGCATGGGAATTACAGGTAGATAGGAAAAGTGATATCGTAGTAGGAAAAGGTGTATGGTAGGAGAATGAATTTAAAACTCGAGGTTACAGAAAATGTTCAAGCTTTAGATGTTAGGGAGTGAAGACATCTGCACCGTTGCGAACGATTTTCAGGCATGTTATCCCTGTCGATAGCTGCTGTCTTAACGTGGTGGTTGGGCTTGTGTATCACAATATCCCAAAGAGCTACACCGACTGAAAAGCTTGTCTCCTCGAAGTCTTATCATGCCAGAAAAGTCTGTTGGGTATTGGTTGAACGAAAAAAGTTACCGTTGTAGTTTAAATTTTCTACACCATGATGGGGTCCGAGCACAAAGTGGTACTGCTTGTTGAATGTGGTGTGACAACAAAAAGGTGTTTCCCCTGAATGACCAACAGTGCCACGCTGATTCTGCCTCCCCTATTGAAAGGGGAGGGGCCTAGAAGAAGTCGATCCCCGAACAGCACTCCCTTCCTTGTCCCTCAGTCTTTCGGTGTCGGCGGTATGAGTTTTCTCTGTCCAGTGTTAGAAAAACCACATCTCAAAATTACAATCCGTAATAGGCTGCATGTGACAGGCCTCAAGCAGATGTCTCATGGGCTCTACACTCGGAAATCTTTTTCTCTTTCTGGTACCTTAAAAAGAAATAACCTTCCGCGTTGTGGATAGCTGGGAAGTGTCAACAACCCACACGCTTCCAGCAATACACAAGACACAATCAAACAACCTATCCTCCTTCACTTTCTGACAGTAATATTAAACCACTTACACCTTCAACCTCTCACTCTACGACCATTGCTAACCATTAAAACCATTGTAACCTCATTCCTAGTCTCCTAAGACCCTGCCATCGGTTTCGTATTAGTGCTTTCAACGTCCAAACCGTATGCTAAATCAGACAGAAAGCATCACTCGCTGCAACTCTGGAGTTTCTAGCCATGGATGTATGCTGTCTACGAGACACGTATACAGGACCCGAGTATGGTTATTGAATTGACATCACCTGACCGGTGCGGCGACTCTTCAGAACTCACCTCACGAGTATTCGCAGGCCCAGTGGCTAGCTGTTATGGACTTGCTGGTGAGTTGTAGAGCAGAAAGTGCACTCCTTGACTGGAGACCAGTCAACAGATGTGTATGTACTGTCCGACTGAATGGGTCAGTCAGTCAGAATTAGAAAGCATAGCGAGACTAAGCGATGCCTATTCGTAATCTCCTCTTACGCACTCACCAACTGTTGTTCCGATGATGCAAAGAATGAATTCTGTGAGAAGCTGTTAACAGAAAGTGAAACGTTCATATGTAGTCGTAATGACAGGTGACTAAGGAAGTTGAGCCAACCTGAAGGGGATCTTAGGGGTATTTACGAAATCCCTGCCATCGAACCGACAACGGTGATCATCAGTTGCAGTTTTGTTCCAACAATCACTTGTTTCTTGCCAGTATAAGGAGAGACACTGTTTCACATGGCGTCCACCGGAATCAAACCAACGATGGATACAAATAGATCATATTGCGATAAGCCATCGTTGTAGAGAGTCGGTTGAGGATTGTCGCTCTTTCTAAAGTACGTGTTTGGACTCCGACTACGCGCTACTATGCTCGATTAGAAGGGGAGGAAGTCAAGTAGGTGTTTAAGGACGACCCAGCTAAGCATTTATCTAAACGTGATAGCGACGGTCATCCTGAGGAAACCTGGTGTATGCTGGTTTGCTATAGAAACAACTGTTAAGATAGTTGGTAGCCTACACTCGAAGGTTAGCAAACATGATTGGATTTCTGCAACGTCATCCGAAATGGGTGATTGATGTGAAAAGACAGATTGCAGTTGACTGTAACCACAATGAGCAAAAGCAACTTCAACGTAAATTAGCCAAGAGTCTTCGCAGTGGTGGATAGGGAGAGCGAGAGAGACAGAGAAAGCATCCGTGTTGGGAAACACATGGCAACTACTTGTATTTGAATTTAGTTCTTGCTATGATCGAGTAATTTTCACTACGAGAAACGATTGCTGTTGTTGGTTCGTTCGTAAGGGGTACCGTAGCTACCTCCTGGATGCCTTTCGAATTGGCTTAACTTCGCTACTTGGGCGCATGAGTTGCTTGGTACTTCGACTGCATCTAAATGTTATGCTTTATGTGGCAAAATTGACGGCTTTTGATAGAATTCTTCCTTTGTATGATGCAAACTATAATGGATGGGAGGTAAGCGGAGAATATGAGTAGTAGTTGGTAAGTCCGACGATCGTGCCTAGTTCTTAGTGACTGAGGGATTCGGTCGGACAGTCCAGAGACAGATGTTTACTGGTATTGTTCGAGAAATGCGTTTTTCACCTGACGACGTACTGCTGTAACTACACTAGTGAGTTCACTGGAGCATAAGGCTACTCTTCATTCTTGGAAAATATCTTACTTCTGCCACAGCACATTGAACCGGGATGACGACTTCACCCTCAGACTTGTATTATTATGTTGGTATCTGCTCTTTGTCCTACCACTGTCTAACTTACATTCTTATCATGATAGAACCTGTAGGAAAGGGTGTTCCAGCCGATGTGGCTCGTAGGGTCATTGTGATATGCATGTCGGTTCACTACTTCAAAGTTGTAACTGCTGGTTGGTTATCAGCAAGTAGAGGGGTAGTGAAATGCGAAGCTTATTATTAAACAATAAAGGAGGTACAAAAGATGAGCGATATGTAATGATACAGTTTTAAAATCTGGGTGGAAGTCTGACGAAGATGTTTCTACATTACTGAGGCATATTCCTAATCCTCGATTTCGATTGTTGCACGAATCCATTGGAGAAAGTTTGCATTCCTCTGCATGACTCAGACCGAAAGTCACTGACTTCATGGATTGGTGTCACTCCTCATCCTGAGAAGCCTTAGGTTTTTTCAACCTAGTTATACTTCAGCTGATGTGTATGTCTCGACGGCATCATTCTCATAAACTGGCTTCTTTCTTTAATGTTGTGTATCTAACGTTTGTACTACTTACACGGTGAATTGACCGCATACGAGCATTGGTATTTAGAGCTATGGAGCTCTCGTATGTCCTTTATTTGTAGTTGGATTCTGCACTCAGTGATCTTAGAATCCCTGTTCGAAAATAATCTATAGCATAGCAGACAGTCCATTTTTGTAACCCATTAATCCGATGGATGAGATAAATGAGTTGTTATGGACTATCGAGGATTCATTCATATCTTCGATAATAGGCAATGCCAAAAGCTGACTAAATTCAGTTTCTCAACCCAGAAGAACAGCGAAAGTTGAATGAGGAAAACTTTAACAAACCAATAAAAGCTTATGATTTGGAGACTACTTTGAGGATTTTTCTCTTTAGAGCACATTGGCTGAAGCAAATTAAATCAATCGATCGATCAATATCAACAAGCATCATTGCCTAACCATTCAAGTTGACACAACTGATGCCAGCACATTAAGTAACAAAATAATAGGATGAAAAATGAAGAAAAGAAAAAAAATCAGTCCGAAGCAATAGAAAGCAGTGGAGGAGAGGAAGGAGGAATGATAAAGCGATGAACTCTATATCACGATTAAAATGAAGACAATGTTTCGACACATCTGCATCACTGACATCGGTTCTGAGCCATATCATCTAGAGTCTACAACCACTGGTTTCTCTTATCACATGAACTTCAACCAGCTAGTCTGCATCTCCCGACATGGCTCAGATCAACAGTCAAGGACTTTATGCAGTGATACCATGTTTTAGTTTGGCCACCTCCATGCCGTTTTTTAGCTTGAACGTACTTCAACCAACATTGCGCGACAAGGCGAACGGTGACTAGGTGTGAGTAACACATGTCCCAGTAATCTGAGTCGATGAAGGTTCACAAACGAATCAAATGACTTTCCACTCCTCCTTATAAATCTACACCTGACTTCTGCTTTACTGACGTGATGAGACCATGACACACAATCTGTGTGCTGCGACGACAACGGTGGTCAAACACCAAAAGCCTTCTCGTGTCCTCTACCTTTAATGGCCGTGTCTCACAGTCATACAGTAGAACAGAGCAGAGCGCACCACAATACACTCCATCTGTCTATAGTAGGCAATGGGATATTGCGGCGGCGCCACAGATGATATGAGGTGGTGAAAGCCAACCGAGCCTCTGTATGCATGCAGAGATTTTGTCGACCACTGACTCACCAGAGCTGGTCTCACTTCCCAAGTAAATGAAGTGTTCAACGCACTCAACCATTTCACTCTCTATTGCTAGCTGGGGACAGTTGGAGACCAGTCCTGGAGCAGCAGCAATTTGCATTTGGGTAGAGAGAAATGCATCCCAAACATTCTCGAATTGCCACTCAAGACTCTGAATCTTGTTAGGATCTTCACTTAACAGGACAATGTCATCTGCGTACTCTAGATCTACTAATGATTCTCCTGTAATTTAGCGACTAGATTTTCAATGAGTTAATTCCCGAGTCAAATCCCGTGTAGTTTTCTTCTGCCTTTATGGCCGACCTTTTTGTATCCTAATACCCAGTGACTGGAATCACTGAGAATTCATAATGTTTGGCGTTAATGTAGGAGTAAAACTTAATCAATGGAGTTAATTGTTATTCCTCTTTAGTCTGTGTGTTAGATGCCACATGGTTAACCTTCATTATTCCCTGGACTATGTTCCAAACACGATTTATTGTCCATATTCATGTCAGGTATATGAATATGGACAATAAATTATGTGCGAGACGTTTGCCAGTAAATAAGACTCTTTCATTGTGACATCTAATAAGAAAGTAAAATGGAAATGTCTAGTGCTGGTTTCTGAAATCGTATATACCTGTCTACCGTCCACATGTGATGGTTATAATAACAGATCTACACTGGAATTTTCAAATGATCTTTAGGTAGACAAGTTTCTTTTTAATTGTGAACATTTGTAATGGTTTTCCGAACCTTATTGTTTGAAGACCTTGTGTGTGAAGTTCCTTTGTTCATTTTGAACTGCTTGAAAACTCTTAGTGATTCATAGATTAAAGTCAAATCACTAAGTTATGGAAAAGAACTTGTGTGTCCAGATTTTTCCAGTATTTAACACTTTCATTATCACTGGTATCCGGTTTTTTACACTCAAGGATGCTGTGTAAGATACTCAGCTTTCGATTTCCTAGTTGCTGTATATTGGTTTTGTTTACCCACAAACTTCTGTTGATAGTACCATATTTGTTAGTGAAATTAAAGTCATTCATATCAAATGCCATTCTTTTTCGTGATCAATCAATTACGTTAGAAATTATTTTATGCTTTATAATTGTGTTACTACCAATTCATCTTTTCGGTTATTTTGTTTTACTAGTCTACGAAATTAGAATCCAGTACAAACCAAGTGGACTCCCTCAGACAAGCGAAAGCTCCTACTCAGGTTCATCCTACAGCAAGTGAACATGCGAAGTTTGTCCCAGAGAATTCGCGTCCTGTAACATCTTATGAGGAGTTATTGTTAAAAAATCTTGGTGCTGAAACTGTGACAGCTATCCGTTCACTCATTCTAAATAGTGAAAGTCATACGACTCGTCCTGTTGACTCTGCTCCTCCTCCTCCACCTCTTCCTTCTGTGGCCACTGATCCAGTCAAACAAGTGAGTTTTTATAGATATAAAGGCGTTAACATTGAGTTAGTGATTAGGTTCATGTATAGGGACTTTAAACATATATCATCGTCGTAGCTCCCATGAATTCCATCGGCATTACTTGATGTCTTGTTGAATAAGAGATGAGGAAAATAATTTCGCTGTTTTGTTTTTGCAACTTTCGTTTCTTAGTCAACCAGCAAGTCCCTTACATATTCATTCGTCGATATCAGTTGTATATTTGCATTTATATGTTTGTTAGGGATATTTCCTGAAAGAAAAAGCCTTCGACGGTGTGGGTAGCTGGGAAGTAAGTATCAACCGCCCTCACAACTCAGTCAGCACTCAAGTCCTTTCAGATCACTGTCCACCTTCCACTTCCCTAACTTTTAATCTTCCTTCACGTCTCTCAGTCAATATTTCCACATTATTTTTAATTTCTTCTAGCTCTGCAGCTCTTGATGACGAGCTGCACCATTGATCTCCAAACTACACATCGAAGCTTTCAGTGTCCTCACCTTTCGTCAAATCAGTCAACAATCACTTTCAGAATCCCATCCGAGCGAACAGATAATGATAATCGTCTATTACAACTGCGCTCAGGCAACCATTTACTTCTGACTAGCATGAACTTCAGACATAGTGCTATTGTTTGACATGGCGTTCTTTTACCTCAGCTCAGCGGTAGACACAGATAAAGCATATTGCTATCATATAGGGTTGGTGAAAGATTGCCACCCCTTCTTGAGCACGTGTTTCAACAGCGACCACACGTTGGTCCAAGCATGTGCACATTCGCGCCTAAATGGACGCAGAAAAATTAGCAACGAGACCTTTGCAAGTGTAGCTTAACAATGAAAGCACTAGACCTGCTTTCAAGATGAAACGTGTTAAATAGTTATCCGAAGTAAACAACGTTTTTCATCCAGAAGATGCTCGGTGCCATCTTCAACTCGCTATAAGACTGGTGTTGAAGACTCTCAGAGTGGTCATAAAGGTCAGTTGATCTCAGCAGTTTCTTCTGAATTAATAATTGGACGCGAATGTATCGTTGCAGGTCCCGAGGAAAATGAGGAGCGGAAGCAAGTCGACTATAGACTGGCTCATAACGTACTGTACAAGTAGCTGAGTGCATTTCGACTTCGGCAACTGTGTTGAAGGCACTATACTCGAACACCTATGGGCGTGTTAAAGCCCAGGGTTGGGTTGCCAGGTGAGCTACATACGTTAAGTTGTGATCTTCAAGGGTTTTCACTCTATATTCTTATTCAACATCAAAATGGACGTCCTTATTGAGGTCTTCTCGCCGTGTGACATCATACCGAATGGTCTTATCACTGTGGAATCCTTGGTTGATCAGGAGTACGCAGATGACATTGTCCTGTTAAGTGAAGATCCTAACAAGATTCAGAGTCTTGAGTGGCAATTCGAGAATGTTTGGGATGCATTTCTCTCTACCCAAATGCAAATTGCTGCTGCTCCAGGACTGGTCTCCAACTGTCCCCAGCTAGCAATAGAGAGTGAAATGGTTGAGTGCGTTGAACACTTCATTTACTTGGGAAGTGAGACCAGCTCTGGTGAGTCAGTGGTCGACAAAATCTCTGCATGCATACAGAGGCTCGGTTGGCTTTCACCACCTCATATCATCTGTGGCGCCGCCGCAATATCCCATTGCCTACTATAGACAGATGGAGTGTATTGTGGTGCGCTCTGCTCTGTTCTACTGTATGACTGTGAGACACGGCCATTAAAGGTAGAGGACACGAGAAGGCTTTTGGTGTTTGACCACCGTTGTCGTCGCAGCACACAGATTGTGTGTCATGGTCTCATCACGTCAGTAAAGCAGAAGTCAGGTGTAGATTTATAAGGAGGAGTGGAAAGTCATTTGATTCGTTTGTGAACCTTCATCGACTCAGATTACTGGGACATGTGTTACTCACACCTAGTCACCGTTCGCCTTGTCGCGCAATGTTGGTTGAAGTACGTTCAAGCTAAAAAACGGCATGGAGGTGGCCAAACTAAAACATGGTATCACTGCATAAAGTCCTTGACTGTTGATCTGAGCCATGTCGGGAGATGCAGACTAGCTGGTTGAAGTTCATGTGATAAGAGAAACCAGTGGTTGTAGACTCTAGATGATATGGCTCAGAACCGATGTCAGTGATGCAGATGTGTCGAAACATTGTCTTCATTTTAATCGTGATATAGAGTTCATCGCTTTATCATTCCTCCTTCCTCTCCTCCACTGCTTTCTATTGCTTCGGACTGATTTTTTTTCTTTTCTTCATTTTTCATCCTATTATTTTGTTACTTAATGTGCTGGCATCAGTTGTGTCAACTTGAACCGATACGTGGTAATTCTAGGTCCTATTTCGATGTTGTTTGCCTAGGTGTTTCCTTTGACAATCGGACTGCTTTGATGTTTTGTTTTTCTGTGGTCTTATGTGATTGTATATTATCCAATTTATTTTGTTGTTTAGCGTTATATTGCTTAGTTCCCGTGAAAATTCTTTCGGCCAAATTTTTGATCGAGTTAAACACGTTTCGTCAGACTTTTTATTTTCTGGATTTTTCGAGGTGTGGTGTTCAACCCTATTGTTTAACTTACGAAATAAACGAAATCTTGTAAGAGCCAACATGCAGTCACCGTCTGTCATGAGTCACTATGACAGCTTAAATTGAAACTATTTATCGAAGTTGTCATTTATTTGACGGCCTGTTATGAGCGTTGATTATTTTAGTCATGAAATAAGTTAGTGTGATTTACAGTAAATGATTGAAGCATTAATGTAGTAACCTTATCTTCGGAGCATGTAGTGTTACAGTATGCCGGCAAAGTGAATTGTTAGATTATTTCTCACTCACAGCTAATTAACCTTTTGTTTCGTACGTTCTGCTTCAGATGGCTGAAATACGATCAAATTTACTGCCTGGCACTACAGGTGGATGTAAGTAAAGGCAACACTTGTAATTGTAAAAGCTTGTGAAGCATCATCTATATCGATTGCGCATATGTTCATGCTGGAAAGCAAACGTTTTTTGGTGACTGTTAAAGATTGAGTAGTTTATTAGTCATACGAACACACTGTTCTCAAAAACAGACTAATAGCTATTTTGTTATAATCTATCAATAATGCATCACTTTTCCTCTTCCAACCAAAATTTTTCATTTCAAATTGAACTTATTTCGTAATATTACAACAGAGCGACATAAAAATATTTTTTGATCATTTTAACTCGAGTTACAAGGTCAGTTAGCATATCAAGGTTTGAACACTTAGGTTGTATTGTTATTCCTCATGCATCAAGCACTATTGTACTAAAGGTATTAATACAACTGGCTGATCGAGCATTTTTAAGCGGAGTAGGGATCTCAACTCTGAATACAAAGGTTAAAAGAATTCGGACCAATAGGTAACAGTGACACATGCTCACGGATTTGGAAAGTGTCATTTAGAAAGTGTTCATGTTGAAAAATTAAGAGAACATAGAGGATCCCATCGAATTCACTAATGTTTAATGTTATTTGACTTCTATTATGAAGATGAATTTCACAGCATGGCGTTATTCCTTTTGCTTCAATTTTAAGATAATAACTTTTCTTTTTTTGTACAGAAATCATCACCTGTCCCTCCTAAGGAACCCAACCAACTGCATAAAAAAAGTGAACTCGTTTCACAGCATACGGCAGCGCAACTACAAGCTCGAGAAGCTGAGTGTCAGGTATGATGATGATGATGATGATGATATTTGTTCATTTTGTTTATGACACTAATCGAATTATGCGAAATTGGTTCTGTCTGTGAGTTTAAACTCTGGATTAGAAAAACAAATTAATTCAAGACTTGGTGAATACCACGTATCGTTTTCATCATCCTATATGCTTCATTGTATGTTTTGTGCACTGATGAATTTGACTGTGTAATTATAAACTTATTGGCTTCAGTACTATTCATCCAGTTTTTACATGGAAATGCTATTCATTCCAGTAGTTCTTTCGATAAACCTCTTGTCACTGAAGGCAAACTTGCTCATAAAACTTAGTTTTATTTTATTTTATTTCAAGTTGTAGGCCAACCTGTAATGTTCAACGCAAACTGTTTTTATCTGTGGTTATGTGTGACATTGGTTTAAGTAGTTGACTTTCAACCGGTGGGTCGCAGATTTCAAAACTCACTCCACCTGCTAATATATGGATAACCAGGTAGTATTGTTGATTCTCACGGTAGGTTGGTTTCATCGCATAGTACGTGAACCTGCATACGGTGGCTGAGTTACTCTTATTTACACTATGAATTTATCGAATAGAAGTTTACCACATATGTGGGGAAATACTTATCGATAAATTAAGGTTGTATGTTAAGTAAAAAAGGATTTGGTATTAATTATAATTTCGGATGCACACATACTTTACTTAAAAGCAGTCAAGGTGGATGGTGCTTTTCCATATCCAGTTTAAGGTACTGAAAATATTTTAGCACTGTCTCTATGATTTAGAAAAGAGATCAAGTCTCACTCTATAGTAAGGTGCTATTATTAAATGTAGGCCTTAATTTTCGGTTGCATTGTTTAGCAAAGTACATTTTGCTTGTCAAGCAAAGGCAGTGATATCTTTCAAATCAAACCTGCTATAGTTCAGTGCATAGTTTCAAAGTTTTATCAATTTGCTGTCTGAATCTCTACTGTGACTAGACCTGATGTAGGCCTGTAAGCTAGACTATTAGTCATCCTTAGCATGCGGAAGTTCATAATGCTATCTCTTTTCCCAGCTCAGAGTAGATTGGGTTGGGTTCGAACCCCCAGCCCCTTACTCGAGAGTCTAGTACCATAGACAGCGAACTACATCTTCACTAACTACCGTCTCAGAATTAGGATGATATGGACCGTTGTATTCCGACCTAACGGCTGGATGGTAACGTGTTCACTGTGAGACCTAACTGTCATGGTAGGACTCGAACCAGTGACCTCTCGGTTAGAGTGCTGTACCAACTGAACTACAGGACTCAGCTGTAGACCGGATGTTAATTTCAATTCAACCACCAAGCGTTTCGCCCAACTACTATGTGAATTCGTGATGCGTTGGTGCCAAACCACGACTGTCTCAATTATTGTAACTGATACTCCCAATTTCTAATTCGTCTCGATTTGCATTTTGATGGGTAGCCAGTGTGAATACGATGAACGGATGGTTGTGCATCACCTATTCACATACTAGTTGGGCAAAAACCCTTGGTGATTGAAGTGAAACTAACATCTGGTCAACAGCGAAGCCTCGTAGTTCAGTTGTTAGAGCTCTGGGTAACCGATCCCTTGCTGTACCGATTGAGCAACGAGCCTCACCTGCTGATCAGATGGTAATTTCACTTCAGTCACTATCTGTTATCAATAATATAAATCTACCAAACCACAGCTATCTCAGGTAGTCAAACCGGTAATAAATATTTTTGTTTAAAATTTTCTGAGTAGTATTTTTCAATAATAATTTTTACGAATATATATATGGTCGCTGGTTCGAATCCGACTGCGATCCAGATTTTCATCTCACCCTCAATCTATAGATGCATCATGTAACTTGTACTGCAGCTAAGAGTGTGAGAAACTATGTTTAAACTACTTATAACTTTAACTGTCAGTATATTTTTCACTCTTAGAGAAGTTTCAAACAGACAACCATTTTTTCATCTTCAATTTATCTTGTTAATTTTTATTCTCATAGATCTTACGTACCGAGGTTGTGCATTTAAGGGATGAAGTTACAATGTTGAAATCCTTAGCTCTTAATCATGTTCCTGTTGAAAAGTCGATGACTGATGCTGAAACTATGACTGATCCTATGTAAGTTACGTTGTTTGTTGTTTTTTTTTCACTTCTTATGGAAAAATTTTCTTTGTTCATAATCAATATCTGAGATTTCTTATTCATTTAGTTAATGTAGTTAGAAATTATAAAATTAGTAATGATTCTACAGTAAAGTTGTTTCATTTCTTTTACTTACTCTAAAGTGAAAGCAAGTCATCAAATTCCATTCAATCCAATGATTCAGATGCAATACTACTGTCAACTCTTCAGGCAGAAATCGCTCGTTTAGTCAAAGAAGTAGTTATCTACCAACAACGTAGTGAAGTAAGTTAGTGCTTCTTGATCTGAATTTACATTAGAATCGATCATTGATTACTACATTTTCTTGTAGTTTTCAATTTTTTTTGTTGTTGTTGATATATAATTATTATGGTTGTAGATACCAGTTTCAAAATCATTAATTCATTTCGTCAATCTTTTCCGTCGGTATTCATTTTCTGTCTATCTATCATCAGATAATGTGTTTACTGTTGATTATTGACTATTTTGTTTGGGGAACATTGTCCACATGTTTTATAGTGTAACCGCATAGGTTTCTAGATTTCTGGATTGAGTTTTAACTCAGACATGAAACCATTAGTGGTTAGTTTTTATTCATGAAACAGAAGCATACTAAGTTAATACACAAAGATCATCGTAATAATTGGATCGAAAATCACTTAAAAGCCTAACCACTCCTTACTTTAATCAGTATTGGATGGAATTAAGGACTTTATGCTACCTCACGCATACGGATTATTGATTGGCTTTTGCTAACTGACGCCATTTATGGCACCGTTGGGATATCTGAATGTTTGTTAAGGGTCGACTGTACTGCTCTACAGTTCGCTATACTGTACTGTATGGTTATTAAACATGACCATAAAAGATAGGGAATATGAGACTTCATGTGTTCGACAACCTTTATTTTCGTAAGATAGGCTGTGTTGTGGTGTCACTATGTTAATAGTGTATAAGTCAAGTGTAGAGATTAAGGAAGGAGAGACAAGTCATTTGATGAGGTTTTGAACCGTCATCGACTCCAAACGAAAATCAGAACGCACTCATCAACTATATGAAAATATGCCTGCAGTAGGCAATGAACCACCCCTAGTGCATTAGGGCTAATGACATTACCTATCTGTCCAAACCTCGGTAGGTGGAACGGTGTTTGAACTCATAGTTCACTGTCTAAACCAATAAACCATATTCCCACTTTTGACTGGGACGCGTATTTCGCATGCCTAGTCGCCGTTTTCCCCGTCACGTAGTGTTAGCTGAAGTAGGTTTCGGCTAGATAAAGGTTAGAGGTGATGAGATTATGACATGGCATCAGTGCGTGAAATCTTTGACTGTTGGTTTAAACTGTGCAAGCAATTGTGGTTTGATCTGTAGGTTTCTCATACTAAACCAGTTTCCTACTTGGTCTACTCGTTTGTTCAACTTTAAAAGTGATTTCAAATGATTTACATATGGAATTTTTTTTGTCTATCAATTATTTTAACAGAACTTAAGAAGTCGTTTGGATACAGCCAATAAGAAACTATCCGATTCAAAGTCTAAATCTGCTGATGAAGCTAAACTGCTACAACAGACGTTAGATGCACAGTCCGAAAAACTGCATAACTTAGAGGCTGAGAACAAGCGTTTGGAAAAAGAATTAAACGATGCCTTACAGAAGGCTGAAGTACATCGTCGTAAATTAGAGGTTTGTAAACTTATTACTAGTGTGTATTAAATAAGGCTTAATTTCGTTTTCCCATTGAATTATGTAACACCTACAACAATGTAAAATGTATACGATGTTACAATGTGTCAAAAATTCTCGTTGTTAAATTAGACCAAGACACGTAGGTCAACAATACTGTTTGGAATTGAGTCTCCTCAGATCTCCAGTTATATACGGAATACTAAAACATTCATGTTTTTTGACTGTGATAATAAGGTAATGAAATACGTAATTAATAACTGTCAAGGTGATCTTAACATTAGTAATTGTACTGCTAATGATAAGAACGATTAAACCACCATCTTAATACAGACATTTCAATAATAAACCGTGAAACTTGCGTAATGTGATAACATGAAGTTAGTGGATAATCACGAAGTCCTAACAAATTGTATAGGTATATGAAAAGGATGAAGAATAAAAAAAAAGGTCAAGTATATTGAATGGGTAAAACCGTCTGTTAATTCTTTCACTGATGAAGGTAGAGATAAAGGTTTTCCAAACTTTTTTTTTAACACGAAAACTTGGGTTATATACTCTAATTCCTGTGACTTCCGCTATGTATAGAAAATGAATACGTACTAAGTTTCACCAATCTGTTATCACAAACTGATAAATCACTATGACTAGTTTGATGCGCTACTTATGAGCAAAGTCAAACATATTCGACTAAATCTTGTGGAGGTTGAATTGAAAATAACACTTCTAGCTTACATGTCTTGTTTTGTATATACTATACTGTAGTATATGCATGAAAGGATCTGCCTTCACTGTTGAAGCACAGCTCACAAGTTTATTTGTATCAAGAAGACAAGATGTGATACTACACTTCGATACTGAAGTTATCAAAAGTTATATCAATTACGTAGATATTTGAAACAGATAGATTAAAGTCTCTATGCTAATGAACATATCAACATTGTCAGCAGAAGAGTAAAACATAGGAATTATTTAGTGCTTCTCATCTCTATTTTTAATCGAGTTTTTTTTCTATGTAGTAGTGCATTATAACTAATAATTTATTTTTTATAATTATTCACTCATACTATGCTGGGGTTTTATATTACCAAGCTGAAAGGAGAATAAGTTACTCTACCCGTATACCAAACTGACATGTAACAGGATCAAAATGTATTTTACCAATATCATTATTTTATTATTATTTTTCCCTTGGGTTCCTGGTGAAACATAAGGCTTCAGTAGCATGCCTCTATTTCATTCTGTTCTCTGCAGTCTTTTTTACCTGGCACCACGACTGCCTAGAAGCTTTCATTTCTTCCTCACATCATCTCCTCCATGTCACCCTCGCCTCGGACGCCCAACTCGTCGTTTCCCCTTTGGATTCCCCTCAAGGGCCTGGCCTGATGTGTAATGTCCTCAATCGGTCTTCCCAGCGTATGCCTAATCCATCCCCACTTTCTTCTGCATGTTTGTTGGGTAATTGGTTCTTGGTTGGCTCGTTGCCAGAGTTCTTTGTTGCTTATTCTTTCTGGGTATTTGATCTTCAGTATCGAGCCAGCGTGGGCGGCAGCTGTTGATGAATGTCTGTAGTTTGTTGGAAGTGTTTTTCGTGACGCGCCAAGTTTCTGAAACATATAGAAGCACTGACCTGACTGGCATTGGTGTTGAAAATCCAGATCTTGTTCACGCTTTTTGCTGAGTGGAGCGCAATAGATCTCCACACTCATTTCAGATTAATGAAGGCCTGTCTTGCTGCCTTTCCGATCCTGGTTTTAACATCCTCATCTGTGCCATCAACGCCTGTAGTTGAAACGATGCTGCCTGCCTAGGTAGGTAGGTAGGTAGGTAGGTAGGTAGGTAGGTAGGTAGGTAGGTAGGTAGGTAGGTAGGTAGGTAGGTAGGTAGGTAGGTAGGTAGGTAGGTAAGTGAAAGAGACAAATTCCTCTAGGTTCCTCCCGTTGGTGGTGATTGGTGTTTGTTGTTGATGCTGTTGTTGGTTGGTTATCTTCATCACCTCCGTCTTCTTTACATTCACTTGAAGTCCCGTTTTCGCTGCCTCACCTCTTCTGTCAACTTGTTAGTTTTCGACTATACATCTTCGAGTTTGTGCCACAAGACAATTAGACATGAATCATCGGTGGCGAAATCCGAATCTTCTAGGCCCTTTTCATCGGTCCAGCGTATGCCCCTCTTCTCTCTCCTCACAGTTGTCTGCTGCACGATCCAGTCCACCACCATCAGGAAGTCCGCTCCAAGTTTGGCATTCATGTCGCCCATTAGAATTTTGATGTCGCCAACTGGAGTCTTGTCCAGTACTGATTGCAGTTGTCTGTAGAATTCCTCCTTCTTCTCTTGATCTGCATTATTTGTTGGCGTGTAGCATTCCATGATTGTGACTTTCCTTCCTTTTGAGTTGAATCTTGTCATGATCCTGATGGTTGAGGAAACTGGCTCTCACTGCATGAGAGCCTTCGATGCTCTTGGAGACATAATGTTAGCCACTCTCTCCGTGTGCTCGTGGTTTTATCGTCTGGGTGACAATATCAGAGTAGATTATTGACTTATGTCCAGTTGACAGTTTGAAGAGTCCACTTCCATTCCATCTGCAGATTTATCGCAGATTCCTAGTCTAGCACTTCTATGCTATACCTCCTCATCTCTTCTTCTTCAATCTGGGTAGCCTTGCTGGCTTCACACGTGGTGAGGACATTCCATGTCCCCATCCTTACTTTCGCTTTCATCGAGAGGAGAGAAGATACATTAGCCGACTGGCTTCCAGAAGGCTTTCAACAACCGGCGTCATTTCGTCTCTCCGATTCCAACCAGGAATAAGTTTGTTTTTATGTTTTATATTTTCTTTATGCTTTGAAGTTTCTGTAGTGGTTGGATTGGTTTTCCGTGGTAGGGTTGGTGGCCCTATGCCCAACCTTCCTTCTTTACCCGGGCTTAGGACAGGCTAGTAACTAGTGAACTAGTTAAGCAAGCGAGCTTATATTACGAATATAACATTTGATATTCTATCACTTTTGCTGGTGTCATTTTAATACCTACGATTGTCGTGATAAATATGTTACTTTTAGTTACAGAGTCTAAATATGACAGGACGATCAGAGCATACCGGTCTTGTGACTCATATAATTAGGCGTTGGCTCAGTAATCTCACCGTTTTATATTCCAATTCATTTATGATCTGTTTTTATTGAATTTCGCTTATTATTACTCTTTACCGCCAGATGTGTGTCATTGGTGAATGTAGCTCATAGGCTTAAAAACTCAACTTTCGAACAATAAGCCCTGGAGTTCAACCCGCCTTTTTCATCTACCCTAGGTCTGTGCTACTGGATGGTAGTATCATAAGCCCTCAAACGGCAAATAGGCCTTATAGCCTGGTGAATAAATCTTCGCCAGGTTGAATTATATCAATTAAAATTTGCTTCCAGAGATTATTGATCCATTTTATTCTAACCATCTTATGAAAAGATTGTTTAGAACTGGCTAAGTGGTTCCATTTATGTATGTGTTTGCTATTTAGATCAAGGACGTTTACAAATGCCTGATTTTTACGCATTTATTTACATCGCCAGTGTTCATCAGCATACACATATGTGAATGGTTGATTTATTGTTGAGCTTGTTGTACTCACAAAAAATACTGTTTTGTTTGAGCTAAGGGTTTTTTCCAGCGCAAATCTACAATCTGTGGGATATGGTTCAAATTACGTCTCAAAATATCTCATATATATATATATATATATATATATATATATATATATATATATATATATATATCGTTTGTTATCGTTGTCTTTATTTTCATTGGCGCTTAAAACAATATTAAGTATAACAATAAGAATACGACTTGTAGTTGGTTTCTATACATTCTTTGTTTTCATCCAAAGTTATTTTGACCTTATGTCACCGTCATTTGCTAGTTTAACAAGTAAAGTATTTGTTATATGTAACTGTTTTTTAGTTATTGAACATGCATTGTTAATAACAGTTAAATAAATTGTATATTGGATAGGAACTGTATGTAGGTTAGTGTATTCAGCTAAGGTGTTTCCCATCATGCATTCTATCCGTTATATGCTAATACGTGTGAAATATATATTCTAAGATTTATAGATTAGCTTGTTATTTGTCCTAATGACTCAATATGACTGAAAAGTAGTAGGCCATTTTGTCATCACTCTGTTTTATATGATACCAAACACAGACACAATCAACGTGAAACCTCTCACAGAAGTGCATCTGTTCAAGTCTCCACACTTCACAGTAGCATGCGAAGATCAAGTAGACAGTGTGCTTGGCTTTGTTGAGTTCTCTGTTCTTGATTTAGATAACTATGGACCCAGGGATCTTCAATATGTCAGTCAAACTGATTCCTTTGTAAGCCAGTTGAACTTTTTTTTCAAGTTGTTCCATCTAGCGTTTTGGTCACCTGTCCCTACTAGGCTATCAGGGTCCAATTGTTTTCTTTTATTGTTTTAGTAATTGTCGTTTACTGCTATTTTTAATAATTACCCGGTATTATTTAATGGTGACGCCTTCTCCTCTTTTGCTTTCATCACTCTCCACTGCTCGCGATCATTGCGAAGACCCTTAGTTGATTTACGTTTGAGTTACTTTCGCTCGTCATTGTTGTCAGATCAGAGTCTGCTGAAATGTATCTTCTCGCATCAGTTAATCGTTTCAGAAACCCAATAACGTTTGCTAACCTTTTGATGTAGGTTACCAACTGGCTTTGCTGTTGTTTCTACAACAGACCGAATATCGCACCAAGCTTCATCAAAATAGGAGCTATTACCATGTTCAGATACATCCTCAGCTATCTCCTCTCTCAATACATACTCGATGTTCTCAACTTCCATTTGAGCATATACAGGCTTCACTGCCTCTTGTTTTCTACGACCACAATGGTGCAAACATACACATCCCCTTACTAATGCTTGGTCGAATTTCAAGGAGAAATTCCAGAACGAGTTGCAATCCTGATAGGGATATAACCTATCTGTGTCCATCATTGATTTGATATCGGCGGACACCATATGAGATAATTCCTTTCTTTGTACTTGAATTTTCTATTGCTATGATCGAGTAATTGTCACTACAAGAAACGATCGTTGTTGTTGTTGGTTCGTTGCTACAGAGTACCGTAGCTGTCTCCCGGCTGCCTTAACTCCTCTACTTGAGCGCTGGAGTTGCTTGGTGTTTTGACCGCATCTGAATGGTTTGCTTTATGTGGCGAAATTGACAACTTTCGATAGAATTCTTTCTTTGTATGATACAAACTATAATGGATGGGAGGTAGGCGGAGAATATGAGTAGTAGTTGGTAAGTCCGACGATCATGCCTAGTTCTTAGTGACTGAGGAATTCGGTCGGACAGTCCAGAGACAGATGTTTACTGGTATTGTTCGAGAAATGCGTTTTTCACCTGACGACGTACTGCTGTAACTACACTAGTCACTTCATTGAATCTCGGGACACTAGTGAAGTGAATTTTGAAGATTTAGCTTATTGGCCATATGTGAGGTCAAGTGAATTGCCACACTCGGGTCCTGTGTATGTGTCTCAAAAACACAGCATACTTATGTAGTTCGAGATTGCAGATTTGTGGTGCGAGATGCCTGCTGTCCGATTTACGGTATGGATTTGGACGTTTGAAGTTCCAATGTGAAACTGCCGATGGAGTTTTAGGAGGCTATGAATGGTGTTTTATTGGTCTATCAGTGGTTTCAAGGCAAGGGGTTGAAGAAGTTGTAAGAGGTCCCATATTGGTATGTCGAGGTGTAGATGAAGGAGGAGATAAAGGTAAAGGAGGGTAAGTTATAGTTGATTCGGTTTTTTGTATACTTCTGGAAGTGTATTAGGTGTTGCCAACTGCCCATACCGTGTAGGTTACTTCTGCAGCGTCCTATGGGAAATCTGCTTGAGGCATGTCATATGCAACCTTTTTAGAGCTGTTGGATTGAGATTTGACTGTGCTAACTCTAGACAAGAATACCTCCAAAAGCTGCGTAGCCTAGAGTAGGAAGAAGAGTGATATTTTAGTGACCGACATTTTGTAACCCTCTGTTCTGTGTGGAGGTAGCGTGAGTATGGCATTGCTTTTCATTTTCGGAAAACACCTAACTTCTGCCATAACACATCAAACCGGCATAACAAATTTCGCTTTCAGACTTGTATTATTATGGTGGTATCCGCTCATTGTCCTACCACTGTCTAATTTACTTTCGTGTCATGTTAGTACCCGTAGGAAAAAGTGTTCCAGCCAATGTAGCTCGCAGGGTCATTTCGATACACAAGCTGGATCACGAGGTGAAGACTGAAGTTGGCAATTGAGTATGATACTGAACATGTTCCATCTGTTTTTTTGCTCAATAGTGTCAAGATTCGTAGCTTGGGCCTATCAACCTCTGCGATGTTGTGCTTTCTTTTGTCTGTTTAATGACGAAAAACAGGAGGGCGATGCTTTTCACTTATGTCGCCGCTTGCCTTATTCTTGGTTCTAGTCATTTTCTCACTGTCATTATCGCACACTAGCGTTCGTTGTATGAGACATCACATGTAAACCTCAGTCTACTGAGATGAGTCGGATATGTACTGCGCGTGCTGAGCCACCATCTACTTCGAGGAAATTGGATTATGATGGAAAAGGGTTCAGGGTGGGGGCTTCAGCCAATGAAGTCTCTTACTGTTAGCCTGAGCTGTGTGGGGGAGATGTAGACTACCTGGTTGGGGTCCTCGAGACAAAAGGAATCAGTGGTTGGGGAATTTTGGTGACATTGCTGGAAGTTGGAGACAATAGCGCAGATTTATTCACTCCTTAACATCTTCTAAAACTTGAATATTCGCACTAAACTTCATTATCAGATTCTTTATTCTCTCACGTTACTTTATCTTCTTTGATATCACTTTTTCTATTAACTCGTTCTTAATGTACTACTGTGAAGTGCGGCAACTTAAGGTGATGAATCTGTATGCGAGGTTCTACGTTGGTTTAGGTAGTCAGTTAATAGCAGATTATCTCTGATTTGTAAATTTATGCGATCAGTATTTTCCACACTTTACATAGCTTTATTCTCCTGTATGTTCTACACTAAATAATTCAGTTTAAATATTTTTTCTCTTTTCTGACTTGATTCTCTGGACGAATCACTTTTATTTGTTGACTTGTGTTTTTACATACTGTTGTCTTTCAGTCCTGTGGATTGATTTTATCCATTATTTCCTTCTTTTTTTATGCTGAACTATTTGAAGTACTTTGTAGACTTGTAGTTGTGATGTGCATTTTACTGTAAATTGGTAGATCACTTGTGCGTGAGGTGATATATTCTTCATTCTTCAAAAGTTGTCAAAATTGGTCTTTTTTACGCCTAGTCTCTTACATACACCAAGGCAGAAATATTGCATTGCCTACGGTCTCTTCAAAGTTAATATTTCATTTGACTAGTTAGTTCCGAAGGGATGGCATACAAACATATAAATTCAGCTGCAACGAATTTTTTTGGTATCAAACCCTGAGTGTAAAAGAAACTTCTTGCGGAAAAGAAATTTGTTACTTTTTTTGCGTTTTAACCGATTTTACTGTAAAAATATATTCAATAAATATACTATTAGGTCGTAAATATATTCGGTGCTAAGATGCGTATCAGTTATTTTGATTATCATGTATAGCAGGTTTGGTTTTATGACAATCAACTTCTTCACATGCGATTCCTTAGTCGAGTTGAAGTACTCAGAATTGATTTTTTTTTGGTAACGTGATAATGCTGACAATATGTAACTTCTCACTGAAGACTGTGTGGGTGATGTACCTAAGGATCGATCGCAGTGAATTAGATAGATTCACGTTTTATCTTTACCGTTAAAACCCCATTATTTGCTTCAACCTCATTTTTTGGCTCTTGATGACTTTCCGTTATATTATTTGCATTTCTTTTCCGTTCACATTACTGCCTTTTTTCTTGTTAAGCACTCATCTTAAGCGTGGGAACTTGCACCAGTAAGCAGCAATACCCAGGTTCTATGCTGAAAATGACTGACTGATTACATAGTTTATGTATATTAATCTGACTAAGTAAATATTCTATCTTGCAGGTGTATTCCGTTAAATAAATGTATACTTATTGTCCCATTATTAACTATCAGATTACATTTAGACCGTCCTGATTATTACTACTTATAGCCTTATAGGATCTGAATGTTCATCGGTAATTGGTCAATTCACTGAAATTAAGCTATTATGAAGCTTGAAATGCTACATTGTAAACGATGAAAACAAGGTTTAAAAAATTGCTTTGGAACTGCAAATTAGTGTTAAATGTACTAACAGTCTGTTTGTTTTTCAGTGGTTTTATTGCAGGACAGATATTTTGAATACTCTAATTAGCTTATATTCTATTTGTTTTAGGAAAGTGAACACATTACCACTCAACGGTTGGAGGAACTAGAAGTCCTTCGATTAGATAACTCATCTTTAAGGAAAAACTATGAAGTGAGTTGATGCGTATATTTTTACGTGTATGAGTGAGTAGGACACTGTTGTTACTATTCCTTCCTCTTCTGCAAATTAGATGATACTGTGTATACTTGAAACACACAGTGACTCGTGTTCGGTTAAGTGGGTAATTCATGTGTGAGCTGCGTCAATAGTATTCACACTGGATGAGATACTCTAGCTGTTTTCCTGATTGTCACTTAAACTCATGAATGTCTTTTTGGAGTATTGCCCGGAATCATAAATCCCCATGATAACGGTCCGAGACTGATACTTTGTTCATGGAAAGTAAAATGGATTAGACTTAACCGTAATTATATCTGACTACCTATCAGAAAACAAGAATTCTGTGCAGCACTCCGTTTTGTTCTATTATGTGACTATGAAACGTATTTTGAAAATAAAAGTTGTGAAGGTTTTTGACCACGTATACATTCGTAGCATTGTTCGCGTACAGTATAATCATTTTATGAGCAATGTCGAGATTAGGCGAAGTGTAATTGACAGATGAAGCAATTCAGTTAGTGAAATTGTGAATATTCATCGACTGAAGTGATTTGGATTGCATTATACATATCAAATTACTTCCTGCCTCGAAATGCAATATTAGTTGTATTATGGGGTTGACCTGGAAGGAAGCTAAGGATGGTCGCATGAAGATGTGGAAACAGTTGATGAAGTCTCTGATTATTGTTTTCAGCCATGTGTACGGCTGTATAGACTGTTTGACTGGGGTCCTCAAAATATCAAGAATCAATGGTTGGCGAATGTTAGTGATATGCTTGGAAAGTTGGTCACAGTGACTCAGATGTATTCACTTTGTCAAATCTTCTAAAACCTGAACATTTTCATAAGTGTCCATTCTCAAATTACATTTCCTTTTGTATACTTCTGTCTACAATAATATCTTTCGTTTGTTGTTTATTTGTTCTTTTCATCCTACTGGGAAAATGTGGTAAATTTGATTCGTTACACTTTTTTTTCCATTTCTTTTATCTTGAAGTCCCCAGTGAATTATTTGTCAAGAATTACAAAAATGATAACTGTTATTATCCTAAAAAGAGTATTAACTCATTGAATAAATAATCGTAAAGAAACTTTACATTTGAGAGAATTTTCAACTTTGATACTATGCTTTGAAGTATATAGTATTTATATTTAAGCAGTGGTTTTAAGCATACCTTACACTGAACTTCACTTTTCTTTTGACATAGTTATTGTTTACTTATAGTAAGATTGTTTAATGATAATTTTCTATGCATAGTGATCAAATTATTCGCAGTACTGACTATTTGTTGTTATACAGTGAAATAGTAATGACATGTTTATTGAGTTAGCTCTAAATAAACGTGATTTTATCAACATCATAAAGATTTATGTAAACAACATCTTACTTATTGAATGATTATCATCAGTACTTTGAATTTCCATATAAAATTGTAATGGTGAACATATGAACTAAATGAATTGTAGATTATCACTTATCTGTGCTTATTCATCCTATTACATAATAAAAGTAGTTGAATATTACACTGTTGTTCAATTTTTTTTTCTTTTTTTTTTACGATTACAGATTCTTGAAAATGGTGCCTCTTTACTTCGTGACGAAAAAGATAATCTGGCACATAAATGTGATGAATTAAATAATAAACATACAGTGAGTCTTCTGATTATCATCATTGACCTATATTTTCATTATAATTTACAAAAATATAGCCTATTATTTATTACTAAATATTACAAAATGTGAAGTAAAATGAGTCAATTTTCAGTTTCATTTATTGTTCAACATGTTTTCTAAAAGATAATCATTTTAATTATCTGATAAAGATATTTCAGGTGAACAAAAACGGGGTCATTTTGTGCATCTAGCTACTTCAATAAATTTATCATATGTATATAAGTAACCTAATCAGTTGATCTCTTCATTCATGTGCGGATCCACCGTACCCACTTCAGTTTGAGTTATCTACTGGTCTTTTTGTTCTTAAGAGATATACCCATTTTTTTTAATTTATATAGTTTAGTTAATAAAGATGGGTATTTCTTTTCTGGTGTATATGCCAAGTAGCCACAGGTGTTAGTTAGACCTGAATGGAACTGTTGAATTTTTTTGTGTGTATAATTGTCAACCATAACTTATTGTCCATTCTTTATCAATCTTTTATTCTTATCCTAATCAAGTTCAGTGGAATTAGAAAGATGGAGTTGATGATTAATCATTTATTACAGTTTTTGAAGTTGTATATGTTGATTGCAGTCAATTAGTTTACTACCATATAGTTTGATTAAGAATATACCTATTACTTTGCATATCATTGAAGTTCTTCTTTGTATACAACTTACTTGAGTATAGTCGCACTGTGTTACTACTCAATTACTTACTTTCTAAGTTTTTGTATCTACCATCGTTATCACTGAATATGGATTGTTAGTTTGACAACGGATGCTATTTCAAACACAATGGATTAACATTCAGTTAGTTGTTCACACTTTTAATTCAAATAGATTTGGATTAAAATAGACAAATATGGCAAGACATTGTGATAAAGAATAACCCGTTATTTATATTAAATTCATATGACAACAGGACTAAATAGGTATTCGTTGAAGCGAAATTCACACCTAGATATTCCCAAAGTACCCGAGTGATAAATTGTCGGAAAAAAAATAAATTGAAAATCGAAATGCCCCACAGCAACTTTGTGCACATTCATACATTAGACAATAACCTAAACTTATTGTATGAAGGCTAGTGATGCTACCTGACTACCCAGCGGGGCTCGAACTCGTGATCAATTAGTTGAAAATCACCTGTTTAAACCGATGATAATGGTTTTAATTTAAGTTCAGCTGTAATTGATATTTTTAACTATGTAGATTGATGTGTCATCTAAGGCTATGCCAGTGACCTCTTTGTATCGTAGTTTTTCTTCGACCGGTTGGCAATATACGTTAAAAGTTTGATATAAGAACCATTACCTTTGTTCATAGATGTAATTAATAATGACAAACACTGAACAGATTGATATATTAGTTTGTTTCTACAAGATATAGATTTCGTACATCTTAGCGAATGAATTCCAATCCTCATTTATCATATCTGAAAATCTTATACCCTGAATATTCAACTGGTTAATTGTATCACATCTTATAGCATTATTCAACGGATATATTTTAATTTTATCAAGATTAAAGAAGGTAAATAATGATATTTTAGGGATAACAATTGTACACATATAGATAGAAAATCGGATAACCTTGAAAAATTGTAATCTTTCCTTATCATACATTCACCTATAATTATTCTGTTAAGAAATATGGTTAACAACAAAAGCACTAAAAATATTTAATTGTTTTTTGATGTGTATGCATACTATATGTGGGCATTACATATATTTTTTTTAGATAGATCAATATATACAGAAAAGTATATTAAAAATGAATTGACATAGGTGTCTATCTTCTTGGTTCAATTAACCTTTCTTATCTCCATCTGTATGGGCTATTGTTAACCTCTTTTCCAAGCATTTAAGTAACATATTAGGTAATTTATTGGTTTTATCAACAAGCCTGGTCAAAGTTACAAGTTTATTCATCAATGTAGCCCCTTTCAAATTCAACTTATCCATTCAGTTTGTATACCTTATCAGTTGAAATGTTGTATCATGATTTCGTTTACAGTGTCGTAGGTTGATGTTTAAAAAAAGATGCTTACCTTGACTTATCTTGATTTATTGTTATATGGTTCCTTTAGAAATCGCTTGCTACTTTGTACTAATTTATTTATTTTCGCTACGTTGCTTTCAAGCTATTCATTTCTTATACGGATGTGTCGCGTGGGTATTTCTTCATATTTTCACCACAGTAAAGCGGATGGTATGGATACCTTGTGAATTTCAAAGATGAAAAATAGTCTAACTGGAATACCTAATTATTGTTAGTTACTCAGTCTGATTTAACTGGTTACTGAACAGAATACCTTTGTTACCAGTCTTAGATGAATACGTACTGCTTAATGAAATCCTCAAAGATATTTGTCAATAGCTGCTGATAATCGAGAAAAAAAAAGAAACAGCAGTATAGGAAAGCATAACCTGGCACTTGACCATATTGGACTTGAGATTACATGTGGACTTGTGACATTAAAGTGAGGTTGTTTTATCATAACTTCAATCGATTTAAGAAGTAGTAAATGATCTAGACAGTGACAAGGGATTTGATCATTGTAAGGATAAACAAAGAATTGTTGGTGGATATCCATCGAGATGACTGTAAAGTATTCCATGTTATCTAATTGATTTAAGTTCTCCAATAAAATTATCATATATACTATGAATACGTTCCCAGTCGTTTTACTTTCGAAGCTTGCAATACTCTTACTACATCTTACTTGTGTACTGCTTATGCCTTAAACCTATTCGATGAAAACTAGGCCATATATCAACTATCAAATCGTTTCTGTTTCTCAACCTTTCTCCTATCATGAATTCATATATACTTTTCGCCTATAAGAAGTTATCTAGTGCATTTGAATGTCCTTATATACATATTCTTGATAACTCATGATAATTAATTTTTAAAAATTTTTACAGACGATTTTATCCGAGTTAACTGCATCTCAATCCCAGTGTGGTATTCTTCACAGACAAGTGGCTGATTATGAAGAACGTCTACATAAATTAACTGATCAACACAAACATGTTGTAGATGATTTAAAAAATCAGTTGAAATCATTATTATGCAACAGTCAAACCAGTGAAAAATCGCATATCAATATGATACACACATTAGAGGCAAAATTGGAAAGATTAACTAAAGAAGCTGAGGAACAGAGTAAACAAATTCAATTATATGAAAGTGAATTAGAGCGTTTACATGCGGAGAAAAATAAGATTGTTGAACAAACTTCCAAATTGTCTAATGAAGACAAAGTTATACAAACAGCTGATGAAATCGACAGGTAGTTATTTTTGTACTTAATCATTAGTATTCTCTGTAAATTGAACATTTCGTACAATTTTATTGCTTACTGCTCTTGATTCTTTGATAATAGTAACTTAAAACCTGACATGTAGCATATCCTTTTGTGTACAACAATGTCTGGAAGGTAACATAATCTATTGTAAATGAGTGGAGTCGAACGAAGCATTATGACCAAAAGCCTTCAAGTCATTATTGTATATTTTCATTTATCTAACCTCATAAAGATAATCACCGTCTTATACTGTCTGTTACACTGCATTGAGCAAACTTTTCGTCATCTATGAGATGGATATCATCAGTTAAGAGCTTTAACTGAGGTATCTGAAAGTTACTTACTACTTATGTAGTAAAAAAAATTAGGCTGATTCATTTGAATATCACTACTTTTAATTATTCAACATGACTCTGTGAAAACTATCTTACTGTATGTTCATATGTGTATAGTTTTGGTCTTTCTGTGTCACAATACATAACGTTCACTACAAATTACAATAACCTTTACATGGGAAACGAATGTAATTGTCTTCAACCCTATTATCTTATGCGCATTCACTGTACTAGAAGTAATAAAAGTATTTATCTATTCCTCCTCTTTCATAAGATTTAAGACTGATGTATGTGTAGACTTTAACGAAATGTAAAAACAAAAATTTCTCTTTTTTAAACAGTAAAATTATATATAAGAATAAGAGATGTAGATTTTTTGCTTATGATTATACTCAGTAAACTCTTACCATTCTCATTCTTTTTACTGATACAATAAGGTGGTGTGAATCAGTTAGTCTAAATTAGTGGTTTGAATTAATCTCTATTGTTATTTAGAAACAGTTAATGCTTAGGTAGGTACATTCGTGGTATATTTTGATGGCGTTTGTAAGTGATATACTTATATGGAGTTATCTGTATTGTTATCTCATGTTGTTCTTAATCTCATTGTTGAAAAATCCTTATCGCCTGGGATTAAAACTACATCCGTTGCTCAAGAAGTGGCTACCGTGACTTGATGGTTTAGTGTATAACGCACTGGTGTTTGAAGCCATCAGTCCCGAGTCCTAGTGGGAACAACATCGCTCGCAGAGAGAGAGTTACATCCAGCTGATGAGTCTGAAATGGAGCGAAATGCATGTTGTAGATTTTACTACTAGCGACTATCCATCTCTAACAAAAATGATTAAATTTGAGTAACAACTTGAGTAACATGATAAAATATTGATGGGTTCAGTTGTTATCAGGGTGTGTATAGAAATAAGTAGTTGATAAATATGTAAGAAATAAATGGAAAGAAAGAGACGGACGTTTAGAAACGTTGTAGATTAAGACCATTAAAAGAACAAGGGTTGGGCAAGTTTCTTTTTTATGCAAAGCTTCAGCTTTTTGAATTACTAACACTTCAATACCAAGGAGTTAGATGTGCCTGACTTTGGCAAGTTCCTTTTCACTTTGTAAATAGCTTTGAAAGGGGCTGTTATTGAAATTGAATAACCAATGTTCAGTAGGTGTTTCATTATCGCACTTCTTACAAATCCACTGTTACCTCTTTTTAATCACGCAGGATAGTGTTCTTGAACCCTTTTGAACATTCTCTTCAGCAAAGTGGATGAATTCGCTGAAAAGTGTCTCTTTGTTGAACCATTTTTTTTCATCTTATTTCATTCGACGTGTTATTTGCTTACTTTGATCCTAATTGTGTAATCTCTATGCCATATCCTCTTTGAACCCTAATTTAGTTATTTTTATCGAACTGACTTATCTAAAATGTTATTGATCAAGCGCAGATATCTGAATTCACTTTAGCTCATTTTCCATCTCCTTGATTAGAATTTATAAAAAAAAGAAAGCATCATCATGCAAAAAACTTCTCATAATAAAGTACTTCACAGTTACCGTATTGTATAGATTTCAGCAGTTGACGAAAATCCACCTTGTTGTCAACTTCTAGGCATCCGCATAAAAGATGTGTTCTCAAGTTGTTTTCCTGAATATAAAAGTGAATAATTATACCCTTCCACGGGTGATTATTTTTTGAAATGAAGATTATGGACAAATTTTACAATATATTTTGCATCAAGAGAATTGTATCATAAAGTTTCGTATGTTGGACACTACATTCACTTGTCAAGCTCAATTAGTGTGTTTTAGTTAGTTGGTTGGTATTGAAATTTTTGAGGTATTGCTATGTACAACTTACCTCGCTCAAAGTATGACTAAAAAGACATTTTCTTCTCATATGTAATATGCAGAGAATAAGGTTACATACAAGTTTCATATTCATTGTTGACTCAGTAATTGTGTAAGAGGTAAACTATTGAATTGAATGGTTAAAGGGATTTTTAACTTCTGGAAATATGGCTACTAATTAACGATTTTAAACTGTAATTTATTTTAGAAGTAGTAATCATCATGGACTGACATCAGTTAGGGAACCATTGAAAATCTGGGAGCACTGGACAGCCGTTTCGTTCAACTAGTAGGGGACTCCTCAGCAGTACACACCCACGACCAGACTAGGGATGGAACTCAGGACCTTCAGGTTTCACGGTGAACGCCTTAACCATTCAGCCAGTGGGTTGGTTTCCAGTGGTTCACAATTTCCAACTCCTGTCAATTCACAACATAGCGTGACTGTCACCCAAGGTCTTCAGTTGACATCCACTTCACTTCCGACTCATCTCAAAAATACATTACTCTATAGTGCTCATTAGTGACTTGCTTCCAGACAGATATCAGAAAGTTCTAATGAGAAGCCGTCACCTGTGGAGACAACCAGTCGGAAGTGAAGTGGATGTCAACTGAAGACCTTGGGTGACAGTCACTCTATGTTGTGAATTGACAGAAGTTGGAAATTGTGAACCACTGGAAACCGACCCAGTAGCTGAATGGTTAAGGCGTTCACCGTGAAACCTGAAGGTCCTGAGTTCCATCTCTAGTCGAGTCGTGGGTGCGTACTGCTGAGGAGTCCCATACTAGTTGAAGGAAACAGCTATCCAGTGCTCCCAGATTTTCAATGGTTCCCCAACCGATGTCAGTCCATGATGAATACTACTTCTAAATTAAAAATCCTCATTCATCCCAAAAATATATTACTCTAATTGATTTCTCAATGAGTGTATTGTACCTTAATATTAATCGTTACACTTTACTGGGATGAAGAAAATTCACGGTTTCATTCTAATTTACTACCAACGTTTTTCCATCGACATTTTCTCTCTCTCCCACACGCATATCATGCGCAGACTTTAGTTAGTTTTGTTATGCCAGTAAAATTTTACTTAATAAACTTTGTTGAGTTACATACAATTCATAAAATAAGTGATATAGAAACAAGAACAAAATATTCTTATTATTATTACTATTATCGTAAGATTCTAGTGAACACTAATTCTGACTGTCTATAGTAAAATTCTTTTTGTATTTCTGGTTTAGTATACATGATTGGTTTTGATTTGCATCCATTTTCTTCGTCATCCCTAATACTGGAGATGAAATATCATTGAGGTGAACCATTCGATTTGAATCAGTGTAAACTTTTAATAATAGACACATTTCTTATTTAATGACGTATTTGGAAAATAGCTTATCGTTTATGTTAATTGTTTAATTGAACTGTAGTATTTTAACACTTAAATGAAAGAAAAACTAAATTCTCATTTAGGACAAATTCTTATTTCATTGATTTCTTTCTCTCCTACATATTTTTTTTTGTTTTCTCCTTGTGTGTTTACGTTTTTATTTATTATGAAATGTTAACTTTGAATTATATCACCTTCTGAAAATACTGGCACCCTTATATTTCACCAGTAATTAATTCATGTCTACGTTAGATTATAGATTAAGGCTGAGGGTGGTAGATATTCAGCTGTTAAACTGTCTATCTGTATTTTTTTTATATGCATCTTGGTTAGTGTTTTCTTCGTTTATATATATATATATATCTCCATCTATTTCGAAAAGTCCATTGTTTTCTTCTACATGAAATGATCCACAAAAATTAAATAGCTTATTTGCCTATTTAAACAACTGTTGAAGATATTTATCACTAGATAGATACTTTTGGCTATTAAATTCTATCATCTTTAAAGCTTTTCTGACCAAATGTATTCGTTTATTATTTTTCTTTTTTACTGATGCTCTACTTGAATTCTTTCAGTATTTTCTACAATCGTTTCTACTAGTGATTATAACTTATCCTTTGAGTATAAATACTTTCATCTTCTAATGTATTTTGTTTAATATCTTCGTTTGTGTGTTAATAGTGGTTGCCAAATTTGATTGGAATGAAACCTTCCATATATCTGCATTCATTCTCATTTCGACTATTTCACCAATATTTTCACTGATAAACTGATTTTATTCTTTATATTTAATTGTGGTATCAATCCATTGTCTGGTGTAGTACCTTTTTCAACTCTATTTAACTAAGTTACAAGATTAAAATTGTTTCTGTTGTTATCAGTTTTTTTTTTCGAATTAAACCCTTTGATATTGACAGAAGCATCCCATTTTTGGTTCTTTTTAGTTATATTCCTTTCACGTTAGATATTTTTGTTACTTATGAGCACACTTGGTTTATTCTATTGTTATTTTCAGTTTATATTCTTATTTTGCGTAAAATAAGCAGAGCTCACAAAACAAAGGAAGAGATATATGTTATATCCCTGAGTTAACCCTGTCGCCGATTTACTACAATTGGCTTAAGCACTTAATTCGACTTATTCGACACTGACACTAACCTGCAACGTAATTAGTCTCGAATATATCTAATCGTTCTCGTATACTCAATTAACCCACACGATGAATCACACAATTCTGCCCTCTCAACCATGTACAGCAGAACATAAAGTTTAGAGTCTATTATCCCTATATATTTCAGACAGTTATATATGGAACTAAATTACTTGACAACGATGCACCATAAATTGCGAAAATAAATCAACAAGGCATTATGCATAACAAAGGGGTTTCTGAAATATAATTTATACAGAAATAAGCGAGAAGTCAATCGAAAACTCTTGATTCGGATGATACAATGATGTTACCAATTAGATCATCAGCAAAATGACTTTTAAAATAATTAAGATAATACGACGAATGATACTTATCTTAGAGTCACTTTTTCCACTTTCCTGCTGATACAACAATATACTGCTCAGCAGGGCCTTATTTCCTTAAGTTATTTTCCATCATCTTTTTTAATAATCTTTCTTTTGTTCACAGATTTCTTTAACCTTATCTGATAACGTTTATACAAATACAACATGGAAAGAGTTGTGGACTGTACATTGTACGGTTATGCAAGTAATAGTGTAGACAAGCAAGAAGAACACTAAATTTAGTTTTCTAATTTTTACAACAGAACTAGAAGAGAAAACCAACAAAATCGTCTTGATTTTAAAAGATTTTTGTACCTAACTCTTTAAAAAACTTATAAGTTTCTTAAGGAACAGTTTGTTTGGTGCTTCAGTTTAACATAAAATAGAAAATTATTGATTTTACCATTGCATAATCAGCAGAGATGTACATTTTGTACTGACAGGATGTAACCAGGGTGATACAAATAATAGAACACGTATTTAATGTCTTATTTTAGGTCAATACACCTTTATCAGTGTTTTCTTTTTATATACACCAAATAAGCTTTTCTGAACTAATTATGGACGACTGCTAAATTGTAATTGGTTATTATTTTTACTATTCACCTTTTTTTCGGCTTGCCTACATTCATTATGTTATATACGCAGGAACTGTTAATTCCTTAATCATCATTGTGACATCATAACTAAATGAATCAAAATATTTTGACTGGTCGGTTTTTTTGAATAAGTCACCAAGTTTTAATGATTCCTAAGGATGCGACTACTATAACTGAGCTACAGATAAACATGTATGACAGTAAATTCAACGGTAAATTCCACGAGTGTATAGTCTACTGTAGTTTACGACAGTAAAGAAAGAGAATTCCTGCAAAGGTTGAAAGACGTTTTGGTCGACAGTAAAAAGGATTTAGCTGAACAGCATTATGGCGATAAAGTATCAAGAAGTCTTGCATAAATATGTTGTAATAAGTTATTGATGGTGTTTGGGTAATCTAGGAAACAAATATAACCCAGTAAGAGTTGATATCTGCCTCTACGGTTATTTGTTATCATTCTGAAATTCAAAGTTAACTAATTACAGATTTGAGTTTTGTTGTCATGAATGAATGAGTTCTTCTCAACTTATACCTGATAGTTAACATGGAACTCGCAGATCATAAGTGATTTCCAGTTGTCTCCAATCACTTGAAACCAAAGTAATCAAAAGTTAAAAAAATGTTTTCTTGAATATACTCATGCATATTTCCTCATAATCACAACAACGTAAGCAATAGTTTATCGTTTCGCTGCTATCTAAAATCTATTGCCACTTTGTAAAGACCAGTGTTAGAATCTTTTCAAACTTATTATGCAAGGCTACTGACTTTGAAATATAAACTGCATCAACACAAGCTAAATGCATGTTATGGATGTTTTTATCTTTTTCATTCGAAATTGTTTCTTTCAACTATGACCTATTTCTATGCCTTTTTTTTGGAAATCATCTTTCAGTAAATCTAACAATCATCAATCAAACATGCATAAAATGAATGATTCTATAGATCAAACAGAATCCGATCATTTCATTGTTGAGTCTACTGAGTATAGACTGTTACAAACGCAAATTGAACAGTATAAATCAGCTCTGGATGCCACAGAATTGATGTTATCCAAATTACAAAATTCTGTCAATGAAGAAGAAGCACGTTGGCACAAAGCATTGGATGCTGCCAATATTGAAAATGAGCTGGTAATTTCTACTCTGATAATACTACGCCTTTGTTTAATTATTTTTGCGATTGCCCACATAGTATCACGTGATTATATACTTGTAGGAAACTGTATGAAATCAGTGAATAACTTGGGCACAGTGGTAGAATGTAGTTCCATATTAGATTTGTTTATTTGATATAAAGCGCACAGTGATACAGTATTATTTACTTGATTACGTTTCGAGCATAAATTATTGCTCATAATCATATCAATGTAATCACACTTCTTTCGACATCTGATTTTATAGTCCTGTCACCTGATCTCTCTTTGTTTTTTGATTGGTAGTAAAGTTTTCCATATCTCTGGTATAGGTGTTGCGTCATTCCTATTACATGTGTTGGGTGTGAATTCGATGAACAAAGATTCAGTAATTAATCTCTCTCTCCACCTAGCTATATTAGACTTAAGTACAGTGGTTTTGTCCCATCCTATTGTGTGGTTGTGTGTTAATGAATGTAATGCAATGGCTGAGTGTTTTTCTAGGTTATTGATCTTATTGGGGTCTGTCGTTCTATGTTTAGCTAAATTCCTATGTTCTGTTAATCTAACTGACCCCGACCGGCTAGTTTGACCTATGTATTTGACTTCACAGTCATTACATGGAATTTGGTAGATTATATTATTTTGCTTAATTGGTTCTATCGGATCTTTTAGCCGACACAGCTTACCTCTAAGTGAGTTTGTTGGTTTAAATGCCACCCTAATTCCAACCTTGTTGAGAATCCTACGTATGGTTTCTGATGTTCCTTCCTTGTATGGTATCACAATAGAGGTGCTGATTTCCTTTCTACTTATGTTGTCACTATTATTTGTATTTGTATTAGTGTTATTATTTTGCTTCTTATGCGTCCGTGTGAATTTCTTAATAAAATGATGGGGATAATTATTAGTTATTAACGCTTCTTTTATGTGTTTCAATTCCTTATTTAAGTCCTTACAATGACTAGTGAGTTTCTCAGCTCTGTTATTTAGACATTTGACTAAACCCGCTTTAACTGACACTGGATGAGATGACTTGAAGTCTAGATACCTGTTAGAATGTGTTGGTTTTCTGTAGACGGTAGTATCTAAACCACCATCTATCCTTCGTTTTATTCTGCAATCCAACATAGGTAATTCTCCTTGTTCATTTTCTACTTCGTAGGTGAATTGGATTGCGTTAACTACTGAGTTTATGTGTGTCAAGAAACTGTCGATATGTTCCGATTTCAACACTGTAAATGTGTCATCTACATATCGCCACCATATCTTAGGTGTCGGATTATATGTTCGTAAAGCCATATCTTCCCAACTATCCATAAATATATCTGCTACTATAGGGGATATCACGAATATACTTGTAGGAAACTGTATGAAATGTTTTCGAAACAAAACAGAATTATCAGATGGATTAATCAACGTAGAATCTTGTTTGTGTTACTGCAAGTCATCAATATAACATGAAAAAATCTGGAACTCCTGTAAGAAGTTTAGTCAGAACTACAGTAACTAGATAACGCTCATATTACATGAATTTCTCGACTAGTATTTTCTTTGCAGACTTTTTCTACGTTTAAATGTAGATGCCTTGAATGCTAATGGCCAAAATCAAATGGTGTGTATTCTTTAAAGTGTTTTTAGTACGGTTGATTGATATTACTAGGCATTGTTGTTCGATTTTTATTATCATTAGTCAGTTGCTTTACTAAAGACAAGGGAAGCCATCCACTTAGCTGGTTTATACATTGTTGGGGCTATCATCATCAAAATCAACATAGAACCATACATCACTGCGTAACGGTCCGAGTTGCGCAGCTAATATCAGTGCATTAAGTAAAAAAGGCAGCGAAGTGGAAGATGAAGAAAAGAAAATTCTGTCAGAAAAAATATAAATTACTGAAAGAGAGAAAGGAAGAATAAGAAAATGGTAAGATTCGCTATAGCGTCGTTAAGATGGGGATAATGTGTGTGTACATCTGCACCACTGACATCGGTCCTCATCCATATCACCTGGAGTCTCCAACCACTGGTTTCTTTTATCCCACGGACGCCAACCGGTTAGTCTGCATCGCCCCACCTGGCTCAGACTAACAGTCAGAGACTTCATACATTGATGCCATGTTTTAGTCTGGCCGCCTCAGGCCTTTTTCCAGCCTGAACCTACTTCGGCCAACATTATGTGACGAGGCAATCGGTGACTAGGCATACGTGATACGTGTCCCTACCATCTCAGTCGTGAAGGTTCATAACCTCGTTAACTAATTTACTTCTACTCCCTAAAACTCTACTCCTGACTTCTGCGTTACTCACATGGTGACACCACGGAATACGGCATATATTATTACGAAGGTAACGGTGGTCAAACACCTGAAGCCTTCTAATGTCTTTAATTAGTACTTTTCTTAAACATCTATTATCGGACTGTAGTAAATAATCGTTTTACAAAGAATACCTAACTCACATTTTAAAGGTTACTCAACAGGGATCTCCTGTGAACCTCATCATCGTTTCTAAATTGTAAGATGGATTGTAATTATCTTGGCATGTTCATTGGATTAGATATATACTTGATTGTCAGATAATCATATATTTTACTCTTTGCATTTATTTTGTTTGTATCTTTCATAATTTAAGAAGAAAAAAATTCATTTTATCTGTTAATCATGATTGCCGCATCAATTTTTGGTTCATTTTTTCCATGTTCTAGTTAAAAACAAAATCAAATAAGCTTGAAGCAGCTTTAAGCGAACTAGTACAAGATCGTAATACACTAACAAAAACTATTGAAGAGGTTAGTTGAATTCGGTTAAATTGTTTTTAAAGTAAAATATTCGTAAATTTGATACTTTCTATTGTCCTATAGCTGATTTCACGATGTCTAAATTCTCCTGAAAGTTGAGTAACTTACCATTTTCACTGCTTAGTTGTAACGAAAATTTAAGTCTATCGGTTACTTCTTTGATAGCTTAGCTTTCATTCTTTTCAAGAATATAATAGTATATATCAGGGATGCTTAATGTTTATTTCCATGTTTAACTTCGTCATAGATGTACTGATGAACGTATCTCCGACTTCACAGTGATTGACTTACTATCTACACGTCATCTGGTTGACGCGTAGTATGCAAACGATATTTTCCTGTTAGGTGAAGATGCTGACGCAATGCGTTATCTGTCGCACTATTTGGTGAGATATCCAACCATCTATCAGAGGATGAATATACTGCGCTGCAGTTCGTTCTGTCCTGTTGTGTGACTGTTAAAAGTAGAAGATATGAAGCAGTTATTGAGTTTTGATCACCGATGTCTTCGTAGCATTTCTCACGTTTGTTGGAATCACCGAGTGAAGGAGTATTGAGGTCAGGCGAAGGGTACTAGACAAGATAGATAGATTGTGAACGTTAGTCGACTGAGATGGTTTCGACGTGTATTACACATCCTAATCCACCACCTACTTCGATGCATAATTCTAGGGGAAGTTGGATTTGGTTAGGAGAGGGTTCGGGGTGACCGGATCAAGATGTCGCACCAGCTGATGATGTCCCTGACGTTTGGTCTGAGCCGTGTTAGGAGATCTGAACTGCCTGGTTGGGGTCATCAAAATGATAGAAGTTAAAGGTTTCAGTCTTGGTAACGTGACTGAAAATCGGCCACAGTAAGATAGGTGTATTCACTTTTTAACGTCTTGGAAAACTTGAACATTTTCACGTCCATCGTACTAGTTCTGTCTTTTCCCATACAGTACTTTGATATCGCTCTTTCTACTTTCACCTGTTTTTTACTTGCTACAGTAAAATGTATTTACTTGAACCAATTCACTCTTAAGTAACGTTCTACGTTGAGTTTGTCTGTCAGTTACAGTGCATCTTTAGGGGATGAGCTTCTCTAGGAATATTATGACTTTTACTACTTGCACTGTGAATACTTTTCGGTGCAAATAAATGATATCTTCGTTCTCTTGAGAAGCTTCTTTCATCAAATTGATTTATATATTTCCTCTTTGATCAGGCTAAATGTTCACCGTGCACCACATAGAGTGAGAAGCTACTTTATTCAACTATGTAGAGTAACTATGAAAAAGTTTTTGTTACAAGTTAGTCTCTGTAAAAAAAACCCGTCAGTGGTCGTTAAGGTCAAGTCAGCAACCTATCTTATCCTTCTCTGAGGATTTCACAATTATTTAACCTATAGAAAACTTGCTTTAAGGAGTGTACCTTAATCTGTAAGTCATCGGAGTAAATTCATACATTGGGCATCTGCTTTTTAGACTATTCTGTAATAAGTACTCAGAACTAGCTAAAGTTAGTAAGTTAGGATTTTCCTGCTTAGTCTTTCTTTTGGTGGGTCAAATGGGGGGTGTAAGAGGAGCTAAAATGCTTCCTGTACTTTTTTCGATTTTGTAATTTGATAAACACCTCAAGTCTTATGATTGAATAACGTTTCTCTATTTATGCTCAGCTTCGTAAAAGTGGACAGTTCAATAACTGTAATTCAGTTGACACTATTAGTGACAATTCTTCTGCAATATCCTTTTGCAATGAAAATAAATTGGAGAAATCATCATCTATATCACCTTCACCTTCATCACCATTGTCGACGACTACAACGGATACAGATGAACAGAATATGTCTAGATCTGAATTGATTCATTTAGTTACTAAACTACGTTGTCTTGTTGAAGTTGAACGGAATGCCTTGAAACAAGAACAGTCATTGTCAGCTGAGCTGAGAACAAGACTAAATGGCACCAATTCACACGATGACAATGGTAATCATAATCATTCACTTAGTTCTGTAGATGACAGGGAACAGGTGAGTCAGAGTTGATCTAATTGTATTACTTCAAAATAAATGTAATAAATTATACAACGGGGGAAAAAAATAACCCATGAAAGTAACAGCTTTTCAGTTGTTTTTTTTTTAATAATTTCTTGGGAGTATTTTGATACTATTCTCTGATATGTTGGAGATAGTACGTCAATTAGGGGAATTGCATTCACCATGAAACTCTGAACTAATCTCGAATCTTTCAAACTAGAGTCATTCAGACTAGATAAACTATAAACGAATGCATTGTCGTCTATGTATTTATCATTTTCTGGTTCTCTACCACTTGTTGTAAAGTGTACTTTTCAAGAGAACTGAAACTAAAAGTATTGTTTCAAGTTGGAATTCATCATGAATTGACATCAATTGGAGAAACATTGAGAACCAGGGAGCACACTGGTTAACTGTTTCATCCCATTACGGGACTCTTCAGGGGTGTATACCCATAACCCCTCCTCCCAGTAGTTAGTTCTCCTCCAACTGATATCGGTCCATGATTAATTACAACCTGAAATCAATTAATAAATCTCTGTAAACCTCCAGACCAAAAGTAATCTATTTGAATTATACTATATACTATATACTATACTATATTATATACTGTTTGAGAAATTCAACTAAGGATACATTTTTTGGGGGGTTTATGAAGACCTTGTTTATTTCAAGGTAGAATTCATCATGGACTGATATCAGTTGAAAGCGGACTGATGTCAGTCTGTGATGAGTATTACCCTAATGCTGCTACTCGTTATGAACGTAGTTTTTAAAGAATAAGTTTTTTAAAGTATCGAATCAGCCCTTAGTTACCTCAATTACTGCTGCTAACATATACTTCGAATTCTTGTTGTAATTAACTTTGGTGTTACTGTATACTTCAGTACTGGTTTCTTGAGGATATTCCGAAAATGTCTTGTTCATGCAACTTAGCAACTATATACAGGCTTATACATTATCTCTATGTGCAGCACTTGATGTGTGAGGATTTAGGATATTACCTCCTGGTTGCGCAGGCGAAAATAGTTTTGCTTGGGTGTGTGTGTGTGTGTAAATACACTACCTATTGCCTAAAAGCTGAGCGGTTAAAAAACAGTGAGCTACGTTTCTACATGTCTTATTCTGAAGTACATGTTTCTGAATCACTTTATCAAGATTTATGGACAAGGTTCACTGTTATTCCAAAGAAACTATTCAACTTCCCATTAAGTCATTCGTGTCATACTTTAGTTTATTTATTTACCATAGTTGGTCATCCGTTATCTGCTGATATAATAATACGATGGAATTCAAAAATTCTTATCATTCCTTATGAAATTCAGTGCATTACACTGTCTAGTCCGATAGATGCACGAACTTTGTCCACCAGTTTATTTCTCCTTCTCAGCTAAATCTTTAAAATCTTAATTTGATATAGATATCACTTGGTTGAATGCGTAAGAGTATTGTTAAGGAAATATACATAGTATAATAACAAATTATAGGGAGAAAATAAACCAAAAGATAGGCTACAATTAATGATGAAGTATGACAGCGCAGTTAACATAAAGCCTAAGGCTAAGGTGTATCTGAACTACTGCAATCGGTTGACACATATACCATCTACAGTCTTTAACCATGAATATCGGCAGTCATGCAGACTGTAACGCAGAAGTTTTACATTTGTCTATTATTATTATTTATCCCTTGGGCTCCTAGTGGAACATAGGGCTTCAGTAGCATGTCTCCAGTACACTCTCTTTTCTGCAATCTTTTGAACCTGGCTCCATGACATCCCACAAGCTCTCATTTCTTCCTCACAGCATCTCCTCCATGTCTACCCCACCTCGGATGCCCAACTCGCCGTTTCCCATCTGGGTTCCACTCGAGTACATGATTTGACGCGTGATGTCCCCGAATTGTCTTCTCAGTGCATGCCCAATCTTGCTTTGTTGGTTCGTCACCAGCCAGCCAGCCAGACTTCCTTATTGCTTATTCTTATCATCCTGCCCATCTGAGCTTCAGTAACGAGCCAGTGTAGGCAGTTGTTGATGAATGTCTGTAGTTTGTTGGAAATACTCTTCCTAACACTCCAAGTCTCTCAAGCATACAGAAACACTGACTTGACTAGCATTGGTGTTGAAGATCCACATGTTGTTCACGCTTTATGTTGAGTGTAGTGCAGAAGATCTCCACACTGGTTTCAGGTTAATGAATGTCTGTCTTGCTATCTTTCCGACCCTGGCTGGCTTTGACGTCCTCATCTGTGCCTGTGCCACCACCTGTACTTGAAACATTGCTGCGTTGATAGTTGAAGGAGGCTACTTCCTTTAGGTTTCTCCCGTTGGTGGTGATATGAGGTTGTTGTTGGTGGTGGTGGTTTTGGTTGGGTATCTTTATCACCTCTGTGTTCTCTACGGTCACTTGAATAGTGTCCCGTGTTGGCTGCCCTGTCCTGCCTCTTCTATCAACTTGTTGGTTTTCGCGTGTAGATGTTCAATTTTGTGCTAGAAGACATTAGACACGAGTCATCGTTGGCGAAATCCGAGTCTTCTAGGTTCTTTTCCGTGGTCCAGCGTATGCCCTTTTTCTCGCTCCTCACTGTTGTTTGCACAATCCAATCCACCACAATCTTTTACATTTATCTAGATGACTCAAAATAACAATCATCGATTTCGGTGGATTGATTCAATGTTGTAATCCAGCAAAATGTTGATAATTTACTGTATTCTGTTATACTGTTACCAAAGTGTATCAATTATATTTAGCTACTTTTAATGTATTGTAAAGTTTTTTTCTGTATGTTTTGTTAATTTTTTGTTTCAGTCTTCAAGCGATAATCCTTCAGAAATTACTAATAACTGCATAAACCATAAGGAGGAAAATGATAACTATATTAGTGTAAAATCTAATTTTATGCATAATAATAGTAATGGTGATGATAATAGTAATAATCTACACGATCATTCAATTCAGAACCATGAAGATATCAACAAGTCTGGACAACACAATAATTCTTTAGATATGATTACTAAAGTATCAGATTGCATTCCTCAACATGAAATATCATCAAATGATGACAGTTATATTCTTCTTTCAAATGGTATACATAAGGATATAAATGGAGAGGTTAACACTAATGAAAATGAAACTTATAATAACTGATTGTATTCGATTGCAATATAGACATTGTTTTTATGCAGTTCCTTGTTGTTTCTAACTTATTTCATATTGTTCATCAATTTTTTGCTGTCTATCCTTTTTCAACCGACTTGTTAAAATTATTTCGTTGTCTGTATGCTTCATCTCTTAAATGATACAATCAGGTAAACCAAAAAAAAAAGAAGAAGGATGGAAATATTCTCTTAAACTTCTACCTTGTTTTTCACTTTTTACACCAGTTTGCTGTTTGATATTACAGAAGTTGAGTTTAATTGTTTGTATAAATATGCATATATATATGGTCATAAATTTACTGTATTATTATACAGTTGGCCAGAAATATAATTAACTGAAAGTTTTTCAAACGAAAAGTATTTAACATTGAATAGATAGATTTCGGTCGGTCGTTTCTCTTTTCTTTTTTTTCGTTGTTCTCACTTTTCAATTATCTTCTCTCTACTCTTCTTCTTCTTCTTGTGCTCTTTTGAATGTAAATAATTGATTTTGTGATTGTGTTAAAATATTTTCCCACTTATGAAATGTTCACCTGTGCTCTTATGAATTTTATTTCTATACATATTCATCAACTATATTGCAAGCCTATGCACAGAGTATATATATATATATATATATATATATATATATATATATATATATATATATATATATATATATATATATATATGGTTACTAAGTTGGCGAAGATGCACCACTTACCCTTCAGACTGACTTAGAGTACTATAAACTTTCATTCATCTTTTCATAGTGCCTTAAATCTATAAGACTATTCAATTATTATAACTTCTACTGCATATAAAAATATTTATTGCATGCAAGATGGGAAGAGAAAAAAAAAAGTGTGTTTTTACAAAATTTTCATACTTTGATATTTAGAAATCTGCCAAAATGAAATAGTTGTTATTGTGTGAGAATTATTATTCGAATAATGATTTAATCCATCGCATGGTTTTTTCATCACCTTGTACTTTTCACTGATATGTTTTCGTTTATTTTCTTTCTTTCTTTCTTTCTCTCTCTCCAGTGTCATTGCCTCATTTTCTTTTTTGTCTATTGCACATGTGTGTATGTATGAGATAATTTCATTCGATTTTTTCTACTGTCCTGTCTACCATTTTCTCATTTAAAAAAATAATAGGCATTTGTTAAAAGCTACTTGATTCTTGTGTGTGTTGATTTTTATTTCTGAACCTTTTGGGTAGGGATATAAATATATTTTTTTTGTACTCTTCGGTTCTTTTTATTCTTGTTGTTAACTTTTTCTCCGATTTTGAGTGGTCCAAACAAGTTTCTATTGGTAATGAATTGTCAGAAACAGTATCAAGTTGGTTATTGAGTTATTGAGCTTTTGTTTACAGTTCATAGAACAATAACAAAGTGTTTTCTTCATCTTCCAAGTTTCTATCTATTTGGTTTCCTTTATTAATATATACAAATAATTGTGGTCATTTGGCCATTAATACATTTTTTTTTCTTTACAGGATATTGCAAAGCTTCGTTTTTTTATATCCATATGAAAATGTTAAATGCTCTAATGCAAAAACCTACTTACTAATCATTATGGCAGGTATTAAAATCTTATGAGATACAGATTATGCCTTATAACACCCTAACCCTAGTCATCTTAATTTATCTGTTGGCTTTAAGACCACTGGGATTGTTTTGTTGCGAATTTATTCGATTAATTCTTGTTGTAAAGTTAAGAATAGTAATTTCTTGGTGTCAGTAGTATATAAATACTGATATCATTCTGCATCACTGAAGTTTTATCGGATCATAAAAAGATTCCGTAATGTAACTGAAAAAAAATTGTCTGAAATAAAGGGATTGTTATCAAACAAATTAAATGTATTTTTGGAAACTGAACGGTTCTGTTAAATTATTACTATTTATTTGTCCCTTCGGTTCCTAATACAACATAGGGCTTCAGTAGCACGTCTCTATTCCACTCTCTTCTCTGAAATATTTTCAACCTGGCTCCACCACCGCCCATAACCTCTCATTTCTTCCTCTCACAATCTCCTCCATCTCACCCTGGCCTCGGTCGCCCAACTCGTCGTTTCCCATCTGAGTTCCACTCGACGACCTGGCCTGATGCGTGATGTCACCAGTCGGCCTTCTCACTGTATGCCCAATCCAATCCATCTCCACTTCCACTGCATATTTGTTGAGTGATAGGTTCTTGCTTAGTTGCTTCGTCACCAGCCAGCCAACCAGAGTTCCTTCTTGCTTATTCTTATCATTCTGCTCATCTGAGCTTCAGTAACCAGCCAGTGTAGTCAGTTGTTGGTGAATGTCTGTAGTTTGTTGGAAATGCTCTTCCTAACACTCCAAGTCTCTCAAGCATACAGAAACACTGACTTGACTAGCATTGGTGTTGAAGATCCACATGTTGTTCACACTTTATGTTGAGTGTAGTGCAGAAGATCTCCACACTGGTTTCAGGTTAATGAATGTCTGTCTTGCTATCTTTCCGACCCTGGTTGGCTTTGACATCCTCGTCTGTGCCTGTGCCACCACCTGTAGTTGAAACATTGCTGCCCAGATAGTTGAAGGAGGCTACTTTCTTTAGGTTTCTCCCGTTGGTGGTGATATGAGCTTGTTGTTGGTGGTGGTGGTGGTTTTGGTTGGGTATCTTTATCACCTCTGTCTTCTCTATGTCCACTTGAAGTCCCATCTTCTCTGCCTCGTCTCTTCTATCAACTTGTTAGTTTTCGCGTGTAGATGTTCAATTTTGTGCTAGAAGACATTAGACACAAGTCATCGTTGATGAAATCCAAGTCTTCTAGGTTCTTTTCCGTGGTCCAGCGTATCCCCCTCTTCTCGCTCCGGTTCTGTTAAATAATGAAAATAATTAGGACTACATCGAAGGTGATTTTTTTGTATTCAGAGAAAGTTTTAGTAGAAATGACCGGAAAATTTTGGTCTCCTCTTGATTGAAAGCAGTTATTTCTGGGTCACCTTGTTGATATTCTTCTGGGTATGCTATGGAACTCAGCTGTTGAGTAGATCTCGAAATCTATTGATTTGTTGAATAATTTTTCTATGCATAAGAGGCAGTTGTTTACGTTTCATCATATTTTATTCATCGCCTATATTTCATCAGATGTTGCCGCTCCACCGATTATCAGAGCTCATTGTTCTCTCAATACTTTTTCTATACAAATGAATTGTATGATATTTGATCTTTAGAAAGTAATGAACACCTAGATGTTTGCACATAATACCTAATTTTTGTCAGCAGTTCCTCCAAATAATTATATGGTTCACATCCTTTGATTCGACTAGGTTGCTAGACAGACAATGGCTAAGAATCTCTTCCACAAGTACTTCATTTGAAGGCACTAAATGTTTCTGCGTCAAAGAGTTCACGAAAGTGGAAAGATGCGTAAATGATTGACAGTGATAACAGTGAAAGGTAAGAAGGGATTAGGTACTTGAGATGTTGGGAAAACTTAGGAATCAGTGCTGTTTCGTTACTGTGATTATTTACGAGTTTGATCACCGAAGATGTGATAAAAAGCTTCACAGTTGCATTCATGGTAAAGCTGAACAAAAATGGATAGAGCAACCTTCTTTGTTCTGTGTCATTTCATGTAATGAGCCGAAGTAATCACCTAAGATAAACACTTATATAACTATCTGTGCATAGCTAAAAGTCCTTCAAGCAAAGATCACCTGTAGTCCAGAGTTAAAGGTGGAATACTTCGTGAGTAGCTATATATATCACTCATTACGTTAAAGTGTCGGCAAACAGGCCGTTCTACGACTTTTTTATCAGATATCCAAGAGACGCTTCGTGGAGTGTGGAGTTTATTTTTGTAGATAATAATGCTAGCTGTTTTGTAGCACAACCACCCCAGATATTCTTTACATTTCTCATGGATTCCTTTCTTTGAAATGAGTATTTTGTTACTATGTTAGGCACATCCCTCTCTTTGATGTATTTCCCAGTGAGATTTTGTATATTCTCAAGATTTGTAGTTTCAAATTATTCTTGATTTTATTCATTTGGGCATAACTGATATACTAGCAACAAAAGTATATAATGACACTGATCTAGAAACTCAGTTACCACTTTCTGGTCGGTAATGTTTAAGCTATAAAACAGATTTATTAAGGGGCAATAGATGATATCATATAGCTTCAAAGAACAATAGTACTGGGTTTGGGTGTGCTTGTCGGTGATTGAAAACTAATTGAATGTTTAAACAATTGGATATCAACTCCACCTACGCAATTAGATGGTATATTTAATAGAATTTATAAAGAAAACTAGTTTCGTGCATAACTTTGGTACCATTCACAAAAACGAGGCTATTTGACCCAATTGTTAAAAGAATAAAGATTTGATATTTGCAAAATATAACTAGTAGGATATAATTTTTGACATCACAGCATAAGGCATTTTCAAATCTCATAGTTTACTTGTTTTAGAATACTGTTAGTCGTTAGAGTGTTCATTCACCTTTGAAAAATAAGCTTTACTTAACCTAAGTTTGAAATGAACGGAGTTCAGTACAACAGCATTTGTTAAAGAATTAAGTACAGTTGAAGACGTATGAACTTTATTAACTGTTTACAGTCAAATAATAACTCAAAGCGTTTCGCAATGTTCTGCTGTCCGAACATTAATTTGCGTATTTATTAGTCTGTTGCCAGTGGTTGGGTAATTTCGCTAACTATCGTACAAAGTAGTTTAGCTTAGGGCTTATTTGATAAAACTTGTTGAATATTATAACAACAGAACCATTGTGTATTAGGTCTCATCATACGTTTATTATGATTCTTCTCATTGTTAATTCATCTAAATAACTGTATGTAATTCTTCTCTGGATAAATACTTCTGAGGCAGGTAACATTTCTGTTACATATCTGCTCTTGTTGACTTGTTTGTGGTTAACAGATTTTATTTCTATAGAAATAAAGTCATTCACTAGATGGCTAAATGCCTTGCCTTAGAAAGACAGTTTTGAAGTAGTTGTTATTTGTTTCCTATTTTTCCTGAAGCATTACTTTCATCTAAATAATTGGATCTATGCTGATAGTGTGCAATACTTCTGGAAAATGTTGGACTGATTTGCTTAGCATTACTTGTTGAAGCTCAATATGGCAATAAGAAATCGTTCAGCGAAAAGATTCACCTAGTATTC